GGAAATACCTCAGTGCTCACAATTGAACATACTGCAGGAATGACTTGGAAACAAAGAGCAGACAAAAAGCAACGTTACAATAATCAGTAATACAGACTGACCTGGGACATGACCTAGTAATCTTCCATTTTCACAAGATTCATGTAAATTTGCCAGCGGCTTCTGCAATCCATATAAACGAGTAGCCAGGTTCTGCATTCACTGGTACAGGGAATCAGTATTATACTTTATTGTCTTTTCGTTAAACTTATAGTACAAGTGGACGTCTAGGATAACCAATTGAGCAAAATATGTCTGCCTACCATTTTGGAGTACTTCAAGTTAGGTTTATGTTCAATGAAAGCAGGTGGTCGTTGATAAACCACTGTTGCAGCTCTTATCAAGATTCTGGCAGTTAAACCCCATATAACATAATCATTATCTCCTGTTTTGTAATCAAAGAAGTGGACCAAATGCTTTTCCCCCATCCACTCAAACTCCTCGGATCTCCGATTCTCATCCTGTGTAAGATATATATTTCAACCAGAGATGCTTCAGAATAAATAAATACAGCAACTATAAAGCCTCCTTGATAAAAAAAAACGAGAGGAACCTTCAGAAACATTTCAAAGGGTGCATCAAACACGGCTTCCACTTCTGCAGGATTTGGCGTTGGATTGAATGCTTTTCTGTCCCATAATATTCCTACCACAGGAATTACTCTAAGCAAATGCTGCATTGGGAAATGAAGCACAAATAAGCAAAACACTTTGTAAAAGCTAAAGACAGCTTGGTAAATGGCAGAAACAATTTGGCAGAGAGCATAAACCAACAATAAAAGGGATATTACTGCTTCAGCTACAACTGAACATTATTAAAGATTTTAAAGATAGAGAGTCACTGCAGTTACCATTACTCTGCTACTAGGGCACAAGAACATTGTAATAGAACTACGAACAAAGGTTTAAAACCAGTGTATGGAAACCACAATGGCCTAAAGAGAACCAGTGGTAACTAAGAATATTGCCTCGACACTTCAACACGCAAATCCCGCCTAACAATCAAATATTCAAATGTAACTCTGTGTACACAGCTACAGATATTGATATGAACATGCATTCCTCTAAAAATGAGACAGAGGAGGACCGTAAGCACTTTTTTAATACCTGAGACAGAAATGGCTCGAGGAAAGCAACAACATCAACAAGCGAAGGGTCTAATCCAATCTCTTCCTCTGCCTCTCTGGTTGCAGTAATCCTCACATCCTTATCATGCTCTTCTGCTTTACCACCTGGCAAAGAAACTTCTCCTGCAACAACAAAAAAAAAAGACAGCCATCATCCATACTATCACTATCATCCCATCTTCATTCGGTTCCTGTACTCGGTGACCATTAAGCACTTCTTGCTTAAATGGCTTCAAAGACGAGAACTTTCAATGTTCTAATTTATGATGTTCATCGTTATGATTTCTATGAGACTCAGCAAACCAAAATTTCGAAAAGAAAAGTACAAACCCGAGTGAGTAGACAATGTGGAAGACCTCTTAGTAAGAATCACACGCAAATCACCATCCTCTCCTTCGAAGAGACATATCAAGACAGCAGCTTTCTTAGGCCTGAACCTCACCGGAGCCATAGATTCCTGAAACCCAACGTGAGAGATCGATTTCCTGGTGCTTTCCTTGTATCCACGCATCTCTTCCGCCTCGTCGAACGGTGAATAAAGCAGCGGCTTGTATACACGCAGCTGCTGCGCCAGGGCTAAGAGTCTGGAAGATCCAAATTTGAAGCCTTTGGCCGTTGGCGACGCGGCTGATGCTCCCGACTTCATGGAATTGCAGAGTTGTTTGGAACCCAATGGAACTTTTGGCAATTTCACTAAAAACTTTTAAAATTGAAGCTTTTTGCCCTAAATTAGATTAAAAGGTTCTTGTTGGTAACATTGCAATGCCGTGGTACAATGAATATCGGTTTTATATAAATCTTCATTGAGACGGTAACAGATATGGTGGTACGGTAAAATTAAATTTTACCGTACCACCATATCTCACCGCAATCTCGTAATATCATAAAACATACTCCATTTCGTGACACCAATTGGCAAGCGGATTAGAAAGTGGTTTAAAAGTCGAAACTTCGAGTTGCATAACCTATAAAATTTTACAATGAAACTACTAATGTACACCAAATTTTAAATTGATCATAGGCATGTCAATCGGATCAATCCAATCATGGTCGAAGACCGCAATACCATGTATACATTTTTTAGTTCAGTTTGAAAGTTTGGCATGGTCTGAACAAAACCGCTCGAATCTTTAGGGGGACTTTTTTCATAAAACAATATAAATTTGCTTGGGGTTACTATGAGAGACAAACAGTAGCATGTATTAAACAAACAGAAAAATCACCAAGGTCGTTGCCTACATAACAAATACATGTATTTACATCACACCAAAGACAGAACATAGACCAAATAAATATACCCTCAAATCTTCAAGTGTACTTGTATACTCTTTAGACGCAGATAAAAGTTAACTTCACTTCAAGCGCCCGGAAATGACAATCTCCGCGGTTTCACTGTGTTTCTAGCTCCAGGAAATGGAGCTTTGGCTGGAACTGATGATAATGACACTGTTCTCTTTGCCGGTGAATTTGAGTTGCAATAAACTGTCTTTGAGCTCTTTGGTTTCTTAGGAGTCACTGAATATCTTACTTCCCAAGGCCTAGCAGAAATCCAACGCTCTTTCCAGCTCCAACCCCAGTTAGTGTTTCCCAACTCATAACTTCCCAGCCACTGAGTCTTGCCATCGGCTTTCCACTGTTTAAGGCCATGGATGAAAACTTTTCTTCTCATATCAAAAGCAGCAAACAAGAAAGAAATGGTTTTTTTTTTCTATACCTGATGAGAGAAAGCATATGCCAAGGCTCTTTCTCGCTTAATCGTCGCTTCTTCCCTTTGAAGTATCCTCTCCAAGATTTCATCTTTTGTCTCTGACCCACCATTCCACTCAACCTGCAATTGTATCACTTTTATGTTCTTTTGTCTAAGGATGATCAAACTCAGCCTGAGTTTTAAATAGCTCAAGTAACAGTTTTAGAAAGTAGAAACATGTTTCACTCTTTCACAAAATCTTACCTCAACATCATGAAGCTTTGCTTCAAGCTTTTGCTGATGCTCTAATCTTTTATTCTTCAGTCGCCATTCGGTTACCATGCAAACTCGGCGAGCCTTTATCTCCGACTGTATTTTACTCCATGAGTGAAGATACCTCAATGTTACCACCGCTTGGTTCTTCACGGAATGTTTCTCAGTTGACAACTTTGCTCTTGCAATTCCTTTTAGACGCCGTAAGCTTTTTCTAGCCTGTCCACAACACAAGATCCCTTAAAATTTCCAATGTAAATGTAAATCATGCAAATAAATTTGGAAAACAACAACTCAATGAACCTTATAAGCTTTAAAAGCAGTTTGAATCCGAGTAGCAGCCCAATCCTCACTATGAGTAACTAGTGATGAAGAATGAGTACCCTTCTTCTTGGAACCTTTTGGTTTCACAGCACTAGTTTTTTTCTGTCACAAAGAACACTTTTATAAAACACAATTCAACGTTTTGTTTATTGCCAATGTAACACATACCTTGTCACTCTTGATGGTTCCTTGTTTACTCTTCTTCAATCTAATTATTGCCTTAATCAAATTCCCAGAACCCATCTCAGAGTCTATCAATAGTCACCAAAACAGCTTGTATGTATGCAAACACTCTGAGATTTGAAAGCCAAAATACTGAAGTTAAAAAAAGAAACAGCTAATGGTTAAGGACCAACTACTCCAAAGAAACTCTTTTGTTTAATATACAAAAATGAATTTGATTACAACTATTGGATTGGGTTGTTTGTACTCAACGACTCACACACAAGCAAAATCCAAAATCAAGTACCCAATAGAAAAGTATATATTCAATTAGAGAGCATACCACACATACTTTAGTGAAAAAAAAATCCAATGCTATGGAAATCGAAAAAGGTTCAAACTTTACTAAAAATGAGCAAGAAGAGACATTAAACTTGTCTATTCTCCAGATCCAATCTACAACCATTGGAACCAGCGAAAAAAAGTTGCAGTTTTTTCAACTAAGGAACTAAAGAATCTTTAGTAAAGATAGATACAAAAACCTGAGTTCAGGACCAAAGGTTCTTGAAACTAGAAGCTCGTCAAAGAACTGAAAAACTGGTTGTGGCCGCGAAGAAGACTGAAGCAGAGAGACAGAAAAACAGAACAGGAGATTTGGTGACTGAATAAGAATGATTAAAGGGTTTTTGCTCTGTGCCTCTGTAGTAAGGAAGAAGTAATAAAGACTTTAAAAGAGACATCATTACAGCGTCGTGACTCGTGGAGAGACTGGAAATATTAGGCTGTAATCGCATTTTTTATTTTATTTGTAATTAATAATCAGTAATATATCAAAATGTTACACCAACAGTTTAAGTTAAAAAAATGTTTAAGATTCGACTCTCTTTTTTTTATCACGTTGTCTATCGTCTTTTTGAAGATACGAAGAGTTTGTAATTAATTATTACGGAGTATTTTTACTTTTCTTATAAGATATATAACACCCATCTGAATTTTCGTGTCTCGTATATACTCCTCTAAATTTAGAAGTTGAAAAGTAGTTTGAAGTTTGAACAAACAAAAAAATAAGAAGTTGAAAAGTAGTGAACAATTAATTACAAGATTGAAAACTTAAACCACTCTTGTTTATGATAATTTTCCTATATTGTATCATTAAATATGAACTATGACAGCTTAACCATCTGAGTATGTTTAAAGTTTTGATTTGAAGCCATCACCGATTGCTAATGTGTTTAATTGTTTTGATGACTGTCTATGGATTACTAATTGAGATTGAATATGTTAACTAAACTATTTAAACTTGTTAAAAATATTACCAATAAAAAATGTTTAGTCGATGCCTTTTGTTTCGTCTTGAGGGCTTATGACCCGATAGTTTTTATGCTTTTTTCGTTTGGATTTAGTTTCTAGAGATGTCTTTGTTTTGTGTTATATTTGTGTATCAAAATCGTATCTCACCCATGTATTCTTCAATCGTATAATATAATAGAAAATTTTAGACGAAAAAATCACTCTTTTACCTTTCAACTATCTTCTAATTTTTTAAATTATACCATTTTTAAACCACAAACAATCTTATCATTATCGAAGATTCCAATAAAATTAAGAGTGGGTAAATATATTGTTACAAGCAAAGTGTTGTCCGAGTGGATATTTCAAAATTTCAATTGTTCTAACTTCTAACTGATAATATTGAATTAACGGTCAAAAACACCAAACTAAATTTCAGATGTTTCTAGTTTTCAGATGTTTATATTGAATTATGTCATTGTCAGGGTTTAAATTCGAGTGGTAACCTAGCGGTAAAGTGAAACAACAATATGTATGGTTGTTTATGTAGTAGCTATATAACTATTACTTAGAATAAATAAAAAACCATAACACAAATCCAAATGAAATTATTATCATTTTATCAAAAATAATGAAGTAGTACTTGAATTCAAAAGATTTTTGGATTTTTTCGTAAGAAATATTTATTTCGATTTGAGTTAGTTGACGTATTTGGATATTAGTGAATATGATATTTGTTATCAAATGGATTCTCGAAGTGGTTGGTCTATAATGAAGAGCAACAAAGCAATGGTTAGCAGAATCATTTGACTTCGGCCGAGGGCCTGAGGGGTCCGAAGTTTCCAAAATCGATATTACACCTACCATACACTCATATTTGATCCATCTACCACAGACAAGAAACAAAATTAATGAATCTTTTAAGAGGAGATTATTAAGTGTCCCAATAATTAAGATAAAATATATGTGGATTCAGCAGCTTGAGCCACCACAACTCTGCTTTGTACCTAATTCTAATGAATGAAATAATCAGACAGTAAATGGGAAGATCTCGAAAGCTGGTTGACACTAGGAAGTAGGAAACATGGTTTGAGACTTTGAGTTTAGGTCATTGTATACATAATTAATGAGTAGTATATGATAAACTTTGTCTAATGAGTGGTTTGATAGCCTCAAAATATTTGTCTATCTATTTCAAGTTTTTAACAATAGCTGACTATGTGATCAATGATCATGCCTTTAACCAAGTCACACATCTTTTATCTTTGGAGGTTTTGGAGTACTTTAAAGGAGGGGGATAAATGTGGAGTTTAGCATTGTTTTAACGGGGTTTTCTTGTTTTTTGATAACCAATATTTGGTAATTACCACTGCGATTTCGTTTTTTTCCGTCATATCGCTTAAGAATTTTAGTCATTACATCTACAAAACAAAGATATATACTATAAGGAAAAGCTTACAAATTTCCCTCTCCAATTTCTTTAGCTAGAAATTAAATAATAATCAATTGAAGATATAAACAAAAACACAACAAACTTATCATTTTCTGTCTATAATGTTAAAGCTTAGAGATTTTAATGTATACACTAAAAGATCAGCTAAGTTGATCGATTTTTTGGGATCGTTGATGATTTTTTTTGGAATTGTTTATGGTTTCTTAATTGAAAATAAAATTTGGTTTTCGTTTTGTCGTTAATTAAATCGTTGTTTTGAGAGAAAAAAAAATCAGTGTTTTCGTGTGATAAATTTTAGGATTTTTAATCTAATGATTAAACACCCCTAAATCATATATGTCTCTAATCTATGTGGCAAGCAGGCCCGGCCCAATTTATATCCACTAATAATTGTACACAAAGAAAAAGTCTATTTTTTTTAGAAAAAATAAGGGAGACTCACAAAAATGCCCTTTTTTCAATACCCCTTTTCAAAAATGCCCCCTTTGGCTGTCCATTTTTTAAAATACCCCTTTTTATGTACAAAATGACTAAATTACCCTTTTTTAATAAAATATATCACAAATATATAAGGAAATATATCAAAATTAGGTCCACAAAATACAAAATATTTTTTGGCGGGAAAAGTGATCCCGCAATTTTTCCCGCCAAAACACTTGTAAAAACTTGTAAAACCTTTAAAAAACCTTGTAAAATTTTCCCGTAAAATTTTTTCCCGCCAAAAAATTTTCCCGCCTAAAAATTTTTTTTGCGGGAAAACTGATTCCGCAATTTTTTTGGCGTTAAATTTTTGGCGGGAAAAATTTACAAGGTATTTTAAAGGTTTTTTACAGGGTATTTATAAGGTTTTACAATGTATTTTAAAAGGTTTTACAACGTATTTATAAGGTATTTATAAGATATTATAAGATTTTACAAGCTATTTTATAAGGTTTTACAAGTTATAAGGTTTTACAAGTTTTTTATAAGGTTTTACAAGTTATAAATACCTTATAAAACCTTATAAGTACCTTGTAAAACCTTTTAAAATACATTGTAAAACCTTACAAAACACTTGTAAATACTCTGTAAAACCTTTAAAATACCTTGTAAATTTTTCCCGCCAAAAATTTTCCCGCCAAAAAAATTTTGACAAAAAAATTGCGGAATCACTTTTCCCGCAAAAAAAATTTTTTGGCGGGAAAAATTTTTACGGAAAAATTTTACAATTTATTTTAAAGGTTTTTACAAGTGTTTTGGCGGGAAAATTGTGAGATCACTTTTCCCGCCAAAAAATATTTTGTATTTTGTGGACCTAATTTTGTTTCAAATAAGGGTAAAATGGTCATTAAAAATTAAAAGAGGGCAAACTTAAAAATGGACTCTCAAAAGGGGCATTTTTGAAAAGGGGTATTGAAAAAGGGCATTTTTAACAATTTCTCAAAAAATAATGACCCAAAAATGATTGATAAAGAGTCTCTGTTTCTTTAAAAATATATATTTAAAAGCCAAAAAAAAATTCTAAATGGCTTTTTACAAAAAATATTTTCAAAAAATATTAAAAGTGATCAAATTTACTTGTAAAAATTCCAAAAATACGCAAAACTTTTTCACATAATAAAAAGTCCTATTTTTTTTTGTCTTAAGGCTCTAAATGCAGGGTTGGGGAGCTGGTGGCAAGTATGGTAAATAGATATATGAGACCAAAGATAATTGATTAAGTCAAAAAGTGTGGTTTTAGACTTTAGATGGTTATATATAAATTATTGATACCTCTTATATTTTTATAATCAACTTTTTAAAAAATATAAAAAGAAACTCCATAAAAACAAGACGCAAAGATATTTGAGAATGAAAATCCAAGAGCTTTAGTGCTTTACAACTGTTAATTTGACTTTATTACTCTAATTTCATGCTTTTTTAATTATTCAAAAGATTATAACCATATTTAAAATCAAAGTAGAACAACACAAATTAACCTAAAAGAAATTTCCAAACCAGTTTAAATATAGGGTCCCTACAATATTTTGCAACTATATTATTGATTTTGCTTAATCTTTATGTCTTTTCAGACATGTAGACAGTTAATCCAATCGACCATGACCCCCCGTTCGTATCCTTATCCATTTAGCAATTTTTTTTCTTCAACTTCTATGTTTGATTATTTGTTTTATATACAAAAATTCACAGAACCCCACAAGCAGCAAACTAAATTAATAAACTAATCCCATTTGATTCAAAATCAACCCTATTCTTTAATTCAACTGATAATATGATAATGTTAGTTCATTAGTGGTGATCGTATTTCAACTCTTAATCCAAATATATTCAAAGGGAATGTCAACTCTCAATGATCTATATCTAGAAACGGTAAATATATATGTTCTTAGATTTTCTATCTTTGTTAACTTTGAGAACCATTTTTTGTGTGTGTATTTCAGATCAAAGAGATGGGTTTCAATGATCCTTCATTAAACTCAATCATCCTTTGGTTCGCCTCCCTAACGTCTCTCGTGACTATCTCCGTTATCTTCGCCCTTCTCATTATTTGTTTACTCAAACGCCGTAGGTTTGATGTATCACCAGAAACCGGGAACGAGCACCAAGGAAGAAGAGAGCCACCGTGCCAAGGGCTTAGCGCTTCCGTGATTGCCGCTTTTCCCACCTTTTCTTACAAAGCTGATATTAATGATCCCGAGAGCAACAATCAGGAGATCGAGTGTCCGGTTTGCTTAGGATTAATCCCCAAGAATGTTGTAATTAAGGTTTTACCAAATTGTATGCACATGTTTGATGAGGAATGTATCGGTAAGTGGCTTGAATCACACGCAACTTGTCCTGTGTGTCGTAGACTTGCTGAGCCGATGGCTAGCAATGAGGATAAAGTCTTAGAAAGTATAGTATAGTTATTGTTTATATACGTCAATTTCTATTATTTTTTCTTTTTGCTAATTGTATTTTCTTTTTTTCTGATTGATGTGAAATGTGCAAATGATATATAACTTAAAATGCAGCTTTGTCATATTACTTGAATTTCAGATGCTCGATCAAATGAGAAAGTCAACTGTTTATTTTGTATCGAGAAGTTTATGGTTCGGTGCACCGTTCCGTTTATAGTTCAACTTTCTTAGACGGAAGACTAGCTAGAACACATAAGTTGTCTTCGCAAACTTAGATATATATGGTCATTTTTGAGTTTTGACTTTTGAGTATCAATTAAGGTTGTTATTATTCAGTGTTTTGGCATTTACTATGCTTTATTCATCATCATCTATATACTCTACGTGGAAAAGTACGATGATGGTCACTTCCTTACTTTACGTACGACTACAAGAAATTTCTACAGTACGTAATACTATTATATACATATAGTCAAATCTTCAAAAGTCTATGCAGATAAATACTATTGTTATCCTAAGTGGCTTATAAGACTATACTCTCGCGAGAAGTTTATCTCTTTAAAGTCAAAACAATAGCTCATACTCCTTTTGAATCAGAAGGTGTCAAAAAAACAATGAAGTCCTTCGTGATTTACGGTTTGAAGCTCGAGATCCAAACGTAAAGGACCAATGGGAAGACTCTGTACGTACGAGGCGGAGTATCCAAAACACGAAGTAGCAACTCACACATGTGTCAGGCTTGTAAACTTGTCTTGTAGTTTAGGTTCTTGTATAAAAGAGAGACTGAGAGTGATCGATGTGGGGAATACACATGTCACTTGGAAATAAGGGAAAAGAGAAAATTTGTATTTGTTAGCGAGAATGAGCCAAAACTATAATCTTTCAGAAGATTTGGTAAAACCTCAAGAGATGTGGTTTTCTCTTTTAAGTTTTAAACTTGTTAAATCGCCTTCACATTCATTCTATTTTATGTTTTTTTTTTAATCTTTATTTCCTTTGTTGATTGATTTATGTGTTTTGTTCTTGTTCTTGATATCAAAATCTAAAAGCATTTTTGGTTCCGCTTAAAGCTTGAGAATTTTAGAGTTAAATCTTTTCAATTAAGAATGTATGGGCTAGCGTAGGTGTCATGTTCTATTACTAGTAAAGATTTGAGGTTAATTTAGACATTTTTTTTTGGGGTCAAATTTGACATTGAAAATATACACTTATTTTCGATACAGAAAACAATTAAAAATGACACTTAATTCGATTTAAGAGGAAGAATAAACTTTACTTAACCCCTTTTCCAATAAAAAAAAAACTACATATATATACTTTTCAGAACTAGATAAGTATTAATTACTATATTGCTTACAATGTTCTATTCTCTGGATGATATTTAATTCTCTTATTTTCTCATTTTCATCACATTCAATTCAGTCAGGTTTTGATTTCCTAGATTAGTTAGTTATTGTAGAATTCAAGCTCATGACTGTTCCTTGTTTTCTCTTTCTCTTGCTAGTCTGAGAACCTTACGTATAAAATTAAATATTCAAGATTTCTACATAATTTTTCTCTCTCTTTTTTTTTTTCTTTTTCATTTTAGAAAGAAAAAGTTCAATATCATATGTTCAGTATATTACCCGATTGGTTGGCCGATTGTTTTATGACATATCACTATTAATTATATATAACTACATCCAAAACTAAATTAAAAATGTAACGCTCTATTTTAACTGGGGTTTTGGTTTAACATCAAATCAAATTCACCCAAAATTTGGTTTACTGATTGGATAATGGATTGTATCCCGAGTGGATTATAATTAATTAGATCTACTTATAGTAATAAGGGTTGACAAAAAAAAAGCCATTAACAATTAAAATCATACATTTCATAATACCATTTCTCTACGGATCTTACGTATTGTCGAATCCCTACAACGGTTGATCTTATAACGTGCGAAACAACACCTATATTTCAGTGATTCGTTACTCAATTTAATAATTAATATATTTTGGGATTATTAGTTAACCTCAATCATTTTTGTAACACAGCGTTCGAACGCTGTCTTTGAAAACATAGGGAGATCACTGTAGTTAGTCAGTAATATGTTCTCTATAATCGAGTCACAAAATCAATGTCAAATAGTATTATGATATGATTATAGATTTCTGAAAATATTGAGCACGTGATTTACGTTGGATCGTAGGGTATGGGCCATTTACAAGTAGGAGGTCAATTTATAAATAATTAATTTGATATTGATGACGCAAAGATATACATGATGCATCATTATATTGTATTGTTTACATATTCAAGAACAACTGGAAAAGTAAGATTTCATTTAACACACAAATTAAAGATAAATTAAATTATGATTGTTTTGCTATTTATAACTGACGCAGAGATTTTGTATGGGAACCATGTGCCAATATAATGATAATCTCAATTTTGAATAGAGAACACTTAACAATAAACCTAAAAATATCTATATGAGATGTTGTCGCATATAGGTTGTTTTGAAAATTTGTTTTCCTAGTAAGGAAATACATAATTTTGTTAAAAGTTTATAAACATTCTAACAGAAATAAAGAGTAAAAGACAAGAAACTTATTGACTAATATTTCACAAGTGGGTTACATATTTTGGCTTTGGCCCGCTTTTGTTTACGGGACCATCCATACAAGTTTCAATTTCCAAAATAATGAATATCCCCCAAATTTTCCGATTAATCATAACGTTTTCTGATTCTCGCCAGCTTCTTAAAATAGAAAATTATTTTCCCACTAATAAAATTTTCACAAAGGCCCCTACTCTTAATATAAATTAACAAACTAACAACTTTTCTAAAGACCCCTACTTTTTTTTTGTTCAACAAGGCCCCTATTTTAGTTGAATTATATCACAATACATTGCATGAGCTAGATTGTACAAATTGCATTTTTATAAGTTAACGTAGATGATTCACTTTTCCTTATTTGTTTCGTCGATTTTCAAATCTTTTGTTTCATTGATGTCACACCAAAAGAAAAAAATGATAAATATTCATTTTACAAAATGTTGAATTGAGAAGAGATAAAAGAGGCCAATGTACCAATCTTTAATAACTATGGGGGTTATCAAGTAATTATGCACTTTTCATGAAAGCGAAACTTATTAAAAATATTTATAAAAAAAAAAAAATTGTTGGTGGAGGAGAGAATCACAATATTTTTCCGAGAGAAAATCACGGAAACCGATGTAGATTCTCTATCTCCAGGTTGTTCACTTCATTCATATAAAGAAGAAGAAAGAGAGAGAGAGAGATCTAAAGAAAGCTAAAAACATGGAGATTTTTTTTTTTTTTTTTTTGAATTTTCTTTAAATTCCCACGACTTTTCTCACTACGCAAGAAGAGCCTATTTCTTATCAGATCTTACCTTTCCTTCAATCTCTCCCATTTGAATCATCATTTTGTTTCTGAAAAACAAAAACAAAAAAAATCTTTTTTCTGCATTTACTTGAGAACAATGTGTAGTAACAACAACACAAGTAGTGGAAGCTATGGAGACTTACAGTTACATGATGAGTACTCTGGTTCTTGTCGGAAGAAACAGAAGAAAGACAAAGTACGACGAAGAGGACCTGGTGTTGCTGAACTCGAGAAGATCCGTCTTCAACAAGAGTACAAATCTCCACTTTCTTCTTCTTCTCCTTCATTACCAAACATCGATCATCATCACACTCTCTTTACTCCGGCTAGTAGCGGCTATGATTTAGTGATGATTCCACCAAACTTTTCTTTCCCGGAGAAACTTCCGTCGACGTTACCGGTTTTCCCGCTTTCGTACGGATCTTTGATTCCTCCGGCGCCGGTTTTTCAGAGGAACCAACATTCTCTAATGGTAAAAGACAAGAGAAAAAGAGAACATGATTATGATTTAACTCTCTTTGTAATTATGCCACAAGTTTAAAACATTTTTTTGTTTTTATGTTTCATGATGATTATGCAGATGAATCTACCGAATCCATCTCCAGGAACAGGAAGATTTTATCAATTCATAGAGCCCCCTTCAAACCAAAGATCTTGCGTTGATTCTGTCTCTCAGTTTTTTGAGGAAGAAAATAAAAAGGCAAGATTTTTTTGAGATATTATTTCCATAATTTTCTATTTAAAAAAACGTTACGTTTTCTAATGTTTTTGATTTGTTTGTTTCTTTGATATCTTTCTATAGATGGTCACTGCGAAGAAGAGGCCATGGCATTTTCTCACAGACACCACGAAACCTAGCGTTGGACCAACCACAACTACAACAATCATAAGGTTTGTTTTGTTTTTGGTTGTATTTCTTGGATTCTCTCATTTTCTTGATACAGAAAAAACCTAATCTTGAACGTGTATGTTTTAGGGATGCTATACAAAACCGGTCAATGGATGTAAGTCCGGTTCAAGAGACCGGTACAACAATTAACAATCCCATCGCCATTGATTCACCTACGTCCATTCCACGTCATTACCCGAGGTTTATCCCGCTTGGCTTACAGGTAGCTAAACTAGATATCATCCATTATAATTTGTCTTAATTTTTGATGAACTTGCTTTGACCGTTTCATTAAACCATCTTGGTTTTAGTATGAACAACAACAACAACAACAAAAAGACTTGGCTGAGAATATGCAATGGAGAAGTAAAAAGCCGTTCTATAGCTTCATACCCTCTGGTGATCCCAGCAATGATGACCGAGAACAACGACCATGTGACCGATATGAATCAGCTGCTCCTGAGCATGGAATTGATCTCAGCCTTAAGTTATAGAGATTTTAGAATCTGTCTTATCTAGCTTTTGATATATCAATTAACTTTCCCGCAACTCGATTATTTTGTGATTCATCGACGAATCAAGACTTATTTCTTAATCAGAAGGTTTGTTTTTAACTCTGAAAAATCTTGGTAAAACCATTCACTTGACTTTCTAATGAAAACTACTATTGTTGCTAACAATATAGTATGTAGAGTGGTAAGTTCTGTTGATACAAAAACAGAACAAAATGCTGCAAGTGCACAAGAACTTCTGATTTGAGCTCAAACCTCATAAGATCAGCAACAACATAAGAACCAGACAAAGTTTAACCAAAAGATCATGGTCTTTATAAAGCTCTCATCCACAATATGAAAATGGAAAAGCACACTTTGAAATTGATATACTCTCAGTTTGATCAGAGCTAAAAGGTGAAAGCTTTAGCTCTGACCTCGAAGATGAAAATGAATATAGATAAGGACAAGAGAGAAGATATACATAGAAAAGGCCATTACACATATCCAGAACGGATAAGTCGATCTCACGTAAGCCGGTAAGCCAATTGCCATGCCAACTACCACAACAAGAAGAGATTCTATTGAGTATTCCCATTTCAATCCTCTCGAGTATACAATCGCCAATGTTATCGACATTCCCATCAGATTGTTCATCGTAACATCCCTGTAAATCTGCAGAAACCCACAATCAAAAGCTCTTAAAATTTGAGTATCTCATCAATGTAATGTGGTAAAGAAAGTGTGGTAGAAAGTAAACTAACCTCAGAGAACATTTCAGATGCGATTCTTGCTTTGTCTTTCTTTCGACAGAAGTGTGCAGATAAAGTGTTCTTCAAGTTTCTAACCAAAGGGATCACTGCAAATACTGAGTAGAAAGAAGGAACTCCAGCTGAAACCGATAAGAGTCCAATGTTTACCATAAATGGTTTAGCAAGAAAGACGACGATTAGCATCCCACCGATAACTTTAGTCACAGCTCTTAAGGTTCTCATGGAGAGGAATTTAGCAACAAGAGTTTGCTTTGGCATTTCTAGCTTTAAAACTCCAGCTTCCTCTCCATTCGACAGGTTCTTAACATGCACAGAATCGGATGGTGTTCTGTAAATGTATGTGTTGTTCTGTCTTGGAGACTCTTGGTTATCAAATTTGTACTGATTCAGTAGTTTCATTATCCCTTCTTCGAATTCGTTCTCGTCTAGTTCGCCATTTTTGTCTTTGTCGAACTCCGCAAGTAAAGTGCTTGCAAACTCATTGATGTCACATTTCATCCTTCCAAAAACTCCAAACTCTACTGTTAAGTCTTTAAGCTCCGAGATTTGAATCTTCCCATCTTTGTTCCTATCGATTTTATCGAACAAACTACACAAAAAAAAAGCAGTAAAAATTTGAAATGTTATAAAGCATAAAACAGAACAAAATGAACTAGTTCTTGATTAGGAAAAAAACAGAACAGAACCTTTTCAAGCTTTCTTTACTTAGTTGTCCGTCTCTAATAAGGGTTCGAGGCGAAAAACTCTGCAAATGCTTATGAACTTCTGACATGAGCTCAAACTTGGCGTGATCTAAGCTCTTCTTTTGGTCTGCCGTATCAAAATACTGAGAGTTTCAAAAAAAACAAAATTCATCAGTACGAAAAATTAAAGCAAAATAAGTTGTAAGCATCATCTAGCTCTACTTCTTGTTTCCGAGAGCGCATACCGAGTAAACAAAGTAGATAAAGGTTGAAGAACAAGAGATTATGAGTGTGATCAACATAATGATATCACTCCAAGATTGTGCATCCAATAAATCAGGCAATGTTACTAAGAGAAATGGAACTAGAGTCAAGAGCATAATCCCTGCAGCTTTCTTGTTCTTAGGATCTGCATCTACGCTTGCTTCTGCAGAGAGCGACAAAAACCGCTAAATTAAACGAACTTTACACAAAATAAAAAGAGAAGGAATTTGCAAGTCTTCTTAACATACCAACAACACTTTTTAGTATCTTCATTCTGTAAAATCCCCTTCTTGGATTCTTTGTATCCTGTATATTTACAGATTATATACACTGAAAAGAATTTGTTATCTTTTATACTAACAGAGTGGAACAAAAGAATCTTTTCTTACAGAGGCTGTTCTTTTGATGGATCCTCTTCGGATTGATGGATCTGAATTAGGACCGGTCAAACCAAAGACAACACAAGCTCCCCATTGCATTGTCAGAGCAAAAATTGTGTGTCCCATAGTAACTCCAACGTTGTTTCCCACAATCATTAGAGCACCCTCGTGGGTCGCTACTAGTCCTGGCGCTAAGATAAAAAAAATCAAAAAGTACGTTTTTGTCAAACTCAAAACCAATTGGCAATGAATGAAATATTCCGTAATATACTGTACAAGTTCAATATCTTAGTGGGAAGGAACCTTACATATCATAAGGGCAATTCTTGGGAACATTGTAAGGAGAGGGAAGATGATACCGCCATAGAACCCGACCTCGAATATTAGAAAGAGTTTTGATCTTCCTTCAGACAAGAAATAGTCACCAATGATCAAGAGACAGCCAAAGGAGAAAACTTGGAAGATATACCCTCCAATATTGTCTGCACATGGAAGGAACCCGTAGACATGAATGCAAGCTGCCTTTTTGACGTTCTCTGGAGGATCAAGAGTGAGATACTTGTAATCCAAGGCGCCATGGACACCATCAGAGATCAAGATGGAGTTATTTAGAGGGACAGGACTTAGGACACGAGAGCTCACACCAGAGATGAACAGAGCTAAAGATAGAAAGAAGAAGAAGAGAGTTAATGGGAAATGTGAATGGTTGGGTCTCCTCTTAAACGAGAATGTTTGCATGTGAGCTGCTTTATTGTGAGAACGAACGATTACTAAAAATTTAGTGGAAGGTTTCTACTGAGAAGAGAAGAGCGAGACTGATTTTAGAAATGGCAACTATTCTTACTAAAGTTTCCCTGCTTTATAACACTGAGATCTACAAGCACCATGTTAATATATATTTTATTACTTACCCCAGTTAGGTACTTAGAAAAAATACATATACAATATTTGTAAAATTTAGAAATTTCATTGTTTTATTTTATTGTAATATACGAACCAGCATGGAAATAGCTGGTTAACTCTGCTCTACGTATTAGCTGGTTAATTAACTAGCTCTACTCTACGTATTTTATTGTTTGTATTGGAAAACACAACGTGACTTATATTATTCATCGGAGCTTTGAAATTCGGAGCTGAACTAATTTGACCCCATCGGACCTAAATTTAAATACTATTGTGCACTTCCTTCAAGTTCTAAATCATTGGACTTATCTAATCTTAGAGTGCAAGTTGTATTAAGTTACATTCAAAAAATGGTATAAAAGATACTGCTGCAGGATCACGTTAAAGAAAAAAAAGATACTGCTGCCGGATCAACTTACATTGTGGGTACATATACTATTTAAATGTTTGCAGGGGATGGACAGTAATATGGGCCAATAAGATTGAATTTTCCGAGTGAAATTTGCAAAAACCACGTGTTCTTAAAACAATGAATATGATATTTTTCTAAACGAAACGAATAACATATGATAAGGTTCTACATAACAATGACAAAATTCAAAAAAATACACAAACTATTAGTTACTTATTTCCACAAAAAAGATATGATACTTTTGACATTTTTAAAAAGTTATATATAAACTAAAAACGTGTCCATATTAAAGAAAATATGTTCATATGAAAAGTTTTCACTCTAAGTCTCACCTAAAGGTGTAAACTTAGTTCTTGTCTTAAAACTGAAAACGGAGATAGATAAGGAGAAGAGAAAAGAAGTACATAGCAAAGGCCAATACACACATCCAGAACGGGTAAGTCGATCTTATATAGACCGGTAAGCCGATTATGAGGCCAACGATCACCATAATAAGAGCTTCTACCGAGTATTTCCATGTCAAGCCTCTTGTATACACAATTGCCAATATGATCGACATTCCCATGAGGTTGTTCATTGTAACATCTTTGTAGATCTGTGGAAACCAATACAAATGCCCTTAAACTTTGAGTCATCTTAAAGTGTTAGCCAAGTAATGAATTGTGATACTTAAACTAACCTCGGAGAAAGTATTGGATGAGATTCTTTTCTTGTCTTTGCCTCGACAGAAGCGTGTAGATAGAGTGTTCTTTAAGTTTCTAGCGAAAGGTACCATCGCGAACACGATGTAGATTGAAGGAATTCCAGCTGAGATGGATAAGAGCTGGATGTTCATCATAAATGGTTTTGCTAGAAAGAGGACAATTAGGATCCCTGCGATGACTTCAATCGCAGCTACTAACGTATCCATAGATAGCAATTTATTAACAAGTGTTTTCTTCGGTATTTCCATCTTAAGAACTCCATGTTCCTCCTGCAACACATTACGATTTCAAAATCAATATAATGCGCGCTGTTTTGAAACTAGAGAAATATTCAAAAATGATGATTCTCTTGAAATGGATATATACTTACAGTGTGATTCTCTCTTTGATCCTCTACGTCGAATTTGTATTGTTTGAGCAGTCTCGCAATCCCTTCCTCGAATTCATTCTCTTCTAATTCGCCGTCTTTGTCTCCATCAAAATCCTCAAGAAAAGCTTTAGCAAGCTCATTGATGTCATATTTCATTCTCCCAAAGTTCGAAAACTCTATGGTTAAGTCATTTAGTTCAGATATTTGTATCTTGCCATCTTTGCTCTTATCAGTTTTCTTGAACAAACTACCGATTTAAGCAATGATTTACGACGTAAGAAAGTTGAAATGAAACTATTATTGCTTCAAAAATATAGAGAGAACAGAACTAAAAGTCTTACACAACCTTTTCAAGCTCTCTTTGCTTAGTTCTCCACGTTTTATAAGGTTTTTTGTTGAAAACCTCTTTAAGTGCTTATGAACTTCTGACATGAGCTCAAACCTCGCGTGATCTAAGCTCTTCTCTTGGTTAGCCGTATCTAAATACTGCAAATTTCCACAAATTGTGTCTATTTTTGTGAATTTAAAAGTAATCATTTAGAGAACAAAGCAAAAAACTTGGGTTTTCTAAAGGGATCATACCGAGTAAACAAAGTAGACAACGGTTGAAAAAGAAGAAATTATCAGTGTGATCAACACAATGATGTGACTCCACGAATGTGAATCAAATATCGCAGATAATGTCACCATGAGAAAGGGAGCAAGACTCAACAGCATAATCCCTGCAGCTTTCTTGTTCTTAGGATCTGCTTCTACTCTTGCTTCTGCAGAAATATAAAACCACAAAATCTTCATACAAAAAAAATGCTCAAAGATAAGAAAAAGGGTACCTAAGCTTACCAACAAAGCCTTTCAATATCTTTAGTCTTTCGATCAATCCATCCTGTATGATTTTTCGATAAAACATTCAGCAATCAATCATGAATGTAGTTTTACTAATAGATTAAGGAAATCTTACAGTGGTTGTTCTTCTTACTGACTGGTGAGAACGTGGACCAGTGATGCTAAAAACAACACAAGCTCCCCATTGAATTGTGAGAGAAAACACAGTGTGTCCCACAGTAACTCCAACGTTTTCATCTATGAAGGAGCTAGCAACATCTCTGCTCAATGATAGTCCCGTTGCTGAGATCAAGGAATATATATATGTTTCAGATATTTTCTTAGAGGGAACAAAAGAAAGAGAGGAATAATTCTTACAGAGCATAAGAGCAATTCTTGGGAACATTGTAAGAAGAGGGAAGATGATACCGCCATAGAACCCGACCTCGAATATTAGAAAGAGTTTTGATCTTCCTTCAGACAAGAAATAGTCACCAATGATCAAGAGACACCCAAAGGAGAAAACTTGGAAGATATAACCTTCAACATTGTCTGCACATGGAAGAAACCCGTAGACATGAACACACGCGGTCCTTGACAAGCTTTTTGGGGGATCGAGAGTGAGAAATTCGTGATTCAAGGCATCATGAACCCCATCAGATATCAAAATCGAGTTATTCAGAGGGACATGACTCAGGACACGAGAGCTCACACCAGAGATAATCAGAGCTGTAGAGAGAAAAAAGAAGAAGAGAGTAACACCTGCCATGGAAGTAAGATCGAAGATCTAATGGGGATTTGGTCGGATAATTTTCCTCTGTATCGGAAACAAGATCTTAAATATACAATAAACAGAGAGGCTTTAAGGTTAATTGCAGTACGATGAACACTGATAGGATTATGTTTTAGTGACTAGTGACTTTTGATAAAGCGTATTAACCAATTATTAAGATGATTATATGGTACGTTTTAAAAAACATATTCCATTATATAATCTATATATGTATCTAAGAGCTTTGACCAGGACAAGACAGTGTGTTTGTAACCAAGAGACACCCTAATGGAGACTTGGAGAGTCATTGCTAACTCTAAAGCGTGCCATGGAAGTAATCTTGGGATAAAGGAGGCATGCAATGGATCTCTCATCTTATGTAGCTATTAAGAAAGATTATATAATTAAGGTCATTGATGCTCGAAATTTAATTTGATTAGATGAGGAAAAAAAGAAAGTAAAAGAGACTCTAATTCAAATTCCTCCATCCATCGTGAACAGAGAAAAACACACATGATCTATTCTGATATGAGAAGAGAAGTCTCCAAACTCTACCAAATACAAAAACAAAAAATAGAAAACACAGTCATGGAATCCTCTCATGGAAACTTATTATTACCAGTGACCTCTTCCTTGTCCTCTTCCTCGACCACCTCCACGTCTTCCCCAACCTCGGTTTCCGCCTCTACCAGCACCGTATGATGATATTCCTTCAAAGGCCTTGTTCACAAGCTGGCTTTGCATAGCACCCGAACTACGTCCCTTCTTAGCTGCAACATTGTTACCACTTCCATTGTTGCTATTAGCAGGCCGCTTTCCTCTGTAGATTATTGCAAAGGTAAAACAAATCACAAATAGATATATGACAACAGAAAAAGATTGCAGATTTAGTAAACTTTGCACAAACCCGATTGTTGTTGTTGTTGTTGTTGTTGAGGCTAATGGCTTTGTGGCTTCTTTCCAAGACAGGTTGAGATTAGTGTCTCCGATAAAAGGTGGCACTTTTGCATGCAATGGCTGTTTCATATCAAAATTTACCCCAAGTTTAGTTTATTTCATCATAACCATATGCTTCCACCAAAAAAGACAAAAAAGGGGAAAGACAAGATTCTGGGATGTTCACCTTTGTCATCGCCAATATGTTATTACATGTCCTAAGTCCAGTTGTAGTATTCTGCCTCTTTGTTTTCTGAAATAATAAAAATCACAAAGGTGTATTAGTCCTGAAAGCAAATAGCACTAGGATAAAAGAAGAGAGTTGCAGGTTAATGTACTTACAATGCTCGCCTTCTCTTCATCTGTCTTAGCAGCCGACATGGCTTTGTTGTGCTCAGTCATTCCCTGAGTTAATTTCTTCATCGTTGCCTTAGTTAGATCCTCAACGATGGTTAATCTGCACCAATGGTTGGCAGCAAATCACAAAAACAAAAACTTTATGATATCATTAAAAAAAACTCCAAGAACTCTCCTATCTCTTCTTAATCTAAGATTACCAAAGTTTTTCTACTCTAAATGGTAGTATATTGAAGTTTCTACGTGCAAAAATTTGAATGTCATATCAAAGAATTAACAATACCTTTCAGTGAAGTCTTTGTTCAACTCTGAGAAGTCCTCCCCCAATCTGTCTGATGGCTGGCCGGTCACAATCTTGTACCCACACAAGCTGTTTGTAGCATTTGGAACCTATATATGTTCAACATAATCAGATAAGTAAAACAAGGAAGAAAAAAAGAGAACGGGATTAATCACAAAATAAGATCTCATTGGCAACCTTGTGGGCAAGGTGATGAAACGCATACAACAAACACTCAACGTATGTGAAGTTCATTTCCTCTCCAGTCTTTCTGGCAGGCATGTATATCTAAAAATAAAGAGTGTAACAATCTTTATAAGACCGCATGTAAAGCTGTTACAATCATAAGTGTAAGGGTGCAGTAAGATATATACAATATAAGCATGGATGTCCACAAACTATTTCTCAAAGGACTCATGACATGCTCGCACTTAAAAGAGCTACCTTTAAAAGCTGAACGATGGAAGGAAGCAGCTGCCTTGCTTCCTGAGCAGTTGTGTATGGAGAAATATCAGCAAGAGCTTTGAGCAAATCAAGTTTCCTTTCCTCTGGGAGCTAGTTAAGAAAAAAAGTTGGAATCATTATGGTGACCAAGGAAGCTCCTCTTTTGGAGTGATACGGATATTTACATGCAAGAAGGTAAAAGAGACAACAGATGCCTAAAAGAGCAGACAGGGATTGATGATACGAAATACAAGTAGGAAATAACAAAGCAATGAAATTCACAATACCTTGTCAAAAACAGGTATGATATGTTTGTTCAAATAGTTAAGAAACCTGCTGCTTGGAGCACCTCTCTGTTCAGAGGAGCGCGAAGTTAGTAAGATAACCAGAAAAGTTTAGAGAATGAGACAATATCCAGCTACTAGCAGCACTTCATCATACCGCAAAAAAGGGAAGAGCCAGTTGCAGGCATGATATCAACCTGTCAATATGGTCTGTGTCTGAAAACTGGGAAAAACAATATTTGTTATCAGGAGTAATACCACAGTACATGGATAATCTCATATAAATTTGGCTGTCCAACCTTATACTTCAAACTATTGGGAAACTGGAAAATCTAAGATCGACTGTTTACATGGTAATCAGAGCAGACACAATCAAGTTTGTATAACTCATAATAGGCATACTATCATTTTAACAATTTTGTGCATTTCCTTGCATTCAAACCAGGAGTAGAGAATTTACTGGAGTTCAAGGAAAATTAACATCACTCAAGAGAAACAATGCAAATGGTTTGTACAAGGATGAACATACACTACTACTGCCACAGAACATGTCAAACTGAATAGTGATATGCAACTAAAACGAACATCAATACACAGCGGGATAAATAGTAGTATCATTTCAAGCAATCAAGAAATTTAGGTTCATATTCGGGATGATGCAAAACAACCAACTAATACCAAATTGCATGATGCAGTACAACTAACTTACTTCAAATTGTGCATTTAAATCCGCCTGTCCTTCGATAATTTCCACAAGTTCTTGCATTCTTTCTTGAGGAGCTTTGCCTCCAAATATACTCAAACTTGTCAGGAAATCCATAAACATTTTAAACTCTCCTCCAGTTACATCTTCTAGGCTCTGCGAAAAAACCAAATAAAGTCAGAATGGGCAACGAAGAAGAAGGCAAATGGAAGTAACAAAAGGAACTACACAAACATACACACAGATAATGATCTTACCTGTTTGATCAAATCTGTTATATGTCTTTCCATCTCTTCTTGAGGCTTTAAGAGTTCCCCTTTAAGAGGAATCACCTACATATAAATTAAGAAAAAAATATATACAATAAATATAGGCTTAATGTATTACAAACCTCTCAAATGATTGTCATTTCTAATACTATCAAGCCCATCAAAGCTACTTGAATCCTTTAACTTTCTTATATTTGTTTATTGTGGTAATATATATCCATACCATCATCACATTTTCATATCACTTCCTCAGTTATTGTTAAGGAAACTTCTTTCGAATCATAAACAATGTCAAGAAGGATGAGACTTGAGTAAACATGCACTTGATATCAGCCACTTTAGTTGATTGAGTAGAGTTTGTACATCTTGAAATTGAACCAATATATAGTAATACACAATGCAAGTCTACTTTACTGGTCTAAATCTACAAGAGGAAAATCCCAATAGGTCTAGCTTGGTGGAAGAAATGAGATATGTATATCAAAAGATTAAGTCATGCAACGTTGTTCTGGGAACCTTGCAAACAGCAAAAAGAAATAGATAAACTCTGACCTTATCTCTGATGAAATTCAAGACCTTTTCACGAATTTGATCATCAGTAGTTGGAGTAACCCCAGCATGCGTAAATAAGGCACTCGAAGATGCTGTAACAAAAGAGAGTGATAGTTAGCAAAACACTAGGGAATTGCAGAGTCGATAGCGATATCATATTGAAAGTCTAAGATAATTTAGCAGACTACAACCCAATTTAAACCTATGCCTGATCATGATCAACCAAGTACATTTTTATAAGCAGGATCAGTATCTTCATACAGAACAACTGTAATAAAATTAGACTACCTTTTGGATCTTGTCGTAACAATGACATCAGAGCCTTATGCACAGCATCACGTTCCACAGGTTCCTCTTCAAATCATGATACATCCAAGTCAGATAAGAAGACACACATAGGTCTAAAAAAGGTGTAGTTAACACAAATATAAAGAGTTACCAGTATTCAAGAGTTGAACAAGAACATCAACAATCTTAGATATAATCTCTGGCGTATCCTTACAGAACAGCGGGAGTCCACGGATGGCTTGAACACGTACCTACACACAAAAAAAGAAACACATAATTAACTCAAACCAAATGATAGTTTCACAGAAAACAAAACTGCAAATTGTGCATTCACAACAACCGATTCTCTGGAAAGCCAGAAGTACTAAGCAATATGTTGTTTCAGGAGAAATTGCATCTGTACTGATACAAGGTACATACATACCCCAAGATCTCCATCATCGATGCAGTCCATATGCGCATCGAAAGCCTCAGTGGATAGACTAGGGAAGAACTTGAAGTATCGAGGAATTAGCTGCGACGCAAGCTGCTTTGCCTTCATACTAGTCTTGGACATCTTAATAATCCCCTCATAATCCTCAACATTCTACAAACGAGAAAGCAAAATCAGGTAAAGTCATTGGAACAAACTAGACCAGCCTAATTCAAATCCAAAGCAAAACCTACATAATCCGGAGATGAAACAGGGAATGCTCGATTTTAAATCAAACCCTAGTTGAAAAAATTGAGACGAACCTGAGACTTGTCCTTGGAGGCATTGAGACGCTCACTGAACTCATAGAGCTTCTCGATTTGCTGGACTTCTTCGGACTGGTTCTCTGACATTACGAAGGAAGCTGAAGAAGAGCGAGAAAAAAAAAACGAAGCAGATGAGTATATATAAACACATAGTTCAATAGAGGAAAAGAGAAGCTATACACATGTAATCACGTCTCTGTAACAGAGGAAAAAGGCGGGAGAAAGATGAAGAAGAAGAGCGTACATGGTGGGTTTTTGGAAGAAGACTGTAGAAAGATTGAGATAGTTTCCGAGTCGAGTGTTTTTTGTTTTCTCACAAGTCTCACGACCTTCCTTAGCTTGAAGAAGAAGACCGAGCTTAACTTAATGTGGGCTAATCTTATAAACGATGTCGTTTCTGTATTTGTGAAACTTGAGAAACGACACTCGAATTGATCGTTTCTTTCAAATTCACCCCAGATGTTTATTTGGGAGCAAAATACCTGTTCGAATTCTTCATCTGAAGGACATCGGTTATCGATTTGGAAAGGAATTTAATGGCTACTTTATTCAAAATTGTTTCTTTAAGAGCAAAATACAGTATCCAACCAAAACTAGTTTGGTCATGAAACAGTCTTATTACCATACAAAATCAAACAAATCTAATACAAAGTGTTGTTGTCTGAATAACTCAAAAATCAGAGAAGTTTTTCTCCTGATTTAGCAAAAATCACAGAACAGGCATATCCAGAGCTTGTAACACATCCTTGAACTCAAAGTCATGAGTATGTTTATTGAAACGCTCGAGCAGCTTGTACCGAGAGTCATTCAAGTAAAACGATTGAGCTGTCTCCATGATCCATTTCGCCTCTTCGTCAGTGAGTTTGCTTGTGAACACAACATCTCCTCGGATAAACACCAAGTCCTTTGTCTCTGAAAGTTCAGTGTAGAAGGTGGTAGTCAGGTAAGGAGCCGCTTGAGTTCCTCTTGCTTTGTAGTCTTCGAGACCAGTAAAAATCATGTGGGGCGCTTCAACTGCCACAATAAAACTGACCATTTATATAAGATCATAAGGAACTCTTTGTTTTCCTACGTAATTCACATAATTGTAATGAAGTTCAACAAAGATTAAATGGTACTTCTAGCAAGATTTAGCCTCACATACCAAGATACCGGGTAAATAAACTGTTCTTGTCCTGACTAAGTTAAAAATGTCCACTGCAAATCTCACTAACTTAACTGAACTTTCTGATAAAAGCTACCACAAACCTTTACACAAGATTAAACGGTACATCTATCAAGATTCAACCTCACATACCGGGAGAATAAACTATTCTTACGATCAGTAGTTTGCTAATTTTTGTTCTGACTAATTAGTGCAAGTAAAAGAATATCCATTGCTAATGAATTTCACTAATTTAACTGAACTAAAAGCTACCACAAACCTTGAGCAAGCATTGTTATGTAACCATTTCATATAAGTAACCATTTCATATAAATTTCTCACCAAGAAATGAAAGATATATAATGGAGGATTAAAGTTTGAACCTTGAGCAAACATTGTAATGTAACCATTTCCTCTCCACAATGGAATGACAAAGTATCGGCTGCAATTGCAACATCAATTAGATAAAAAGATCCAATCACGATTTTAATTAAACAAGAACAAGGCTAATGATGTTATTAGTTATTACCACTCAGAGGCTCGTTGCTCCAACAATCGATAAAGCTGAGCTTTCATCGTTATCCCAATATGACCTCGTCCCAAGTGATACTGACAAATTGAAAATGTAGTAAGATCCAACGAAATGCAATTGAAAGACAGAAAATTTCACATAAAAAAAGAGGAATTTAGAGATTACATCGTCCCAGATCGAAGTGAGTTCTTCCGGAGATTTAGTCTTGGCTCTGGCCAAATCCATGATTGAATCCAAAGGTTTTGGCTGCAACGGTGTAAACCCAGATGCGAATCTCGAATTTCTGACTGAACCAAGCGAAGCCCATTTTATATGGTTTCCAGGTAAAGCTTCGGAGAGCTTACTTGAGGCATCTCGTTGCCAAGAAGATGAACACGCAGTGAAAATTTGTCTGGACGAAGAAGAAGAAGAAGATGATGAAGAGAACTTATTTTTAGCGAGAGTCGAAATAGAACCGAGGATTCTTCTCAATTTCATGGTGAAATTCAAAGAAATTATCAAGATAGGTACAGTTCTCAATTCTCAGGTAATCTCAGAGGAATTTTGTCGAACACATTGTGTTCTAATAGATCTAAACCCACAAAAGAAACAAAAGTCAAAAATGTCACTGTTTTGGAATCTCAATTACTCGTTCTTATGTTTTAGAACCCTAACCGGAAACGTCGTCGGTTCGTTATTTCGTTGGTTAACTTAATTCGACCGGCCGGACCAGATAATAGTAAGTTCGCTTTTATCTGAACAAAAATAATGGGCCTGGTCCAGACTCCAGAGTCCAGATATCCGGATTACTCTCTTTCTGACTTCAACAAAACCAATGGATTAGATGTTGAATTTGACAAACTTGTATCATACAGTGGATTCAGAGGTAACCACGGGAATTTAGTATTTACATATTTATTTTTATTCTATAACATTTTAAGTTTAACATAGCAAATTACAGGTACAAATTATTGATCCTTTTAGAAAATGTGTAATAGTCACAGGAACACATTATTACGCATTCTACTCGAAAGATTGTATAAAGGTTTTTTTTTTTTGATATTGTCGGCAAAAGATCTATAAAGTTAATAAGACATGATTGCTTCCACAAACACAGAAAAAATTAGATCTCTTAACCCATGTTTCACAAATTTCCTGTCCCTCTTTGTTCTTTTTTTACAATAAATAACTATTCTGTTAAATCAACTTGTTTGTCACTTATATGAGCATTGACTTAGGTTATTTTTTTTGTCATTATTTTGAACAGTACCAAAAAACTGTAAACTATTTATTAGTTTGTCCAGACACACAGTATCTCACAACCCCACCATGCATGTCCTATCTCTTTCTTTATCCTCAACATTCTTTTATCTCTTCCTCACATCAACCATTCCTATTTCTCCGGCGAAACTAATAATCTCTCAGCCTCCGGCACTAAGGCGCCTCCACCACAGAGAGCTCTCCGACGATTACTACTCCAAGAAATGTCCTCAGCTCGAAAATCTAGTCGGTTCCGTCACTTCTCAACGGTTCAAAGAAGCCCCCATCTCAGCTCCAGCCACCATTCGCCTCTTCTTTCACGACTGCTTCGTTGAGGTTTAAATTCTAGCGCATTATTTTTCTTACTCCAGCGCACTATAGCATTAACCATAAACAACAACACGCATTTTAGCATTAGTATCTACTCTAGCATGGTCAAATTTTAATGCACCATCTCATTATATCGCAATAATTATTGGAAAGTCAAATCACCAATATGGAAATAATCCCGACAAAAATTTCACTGGTTCAGTTTCCAACGTAGCGTAGTTTAGCAAACAACAGTCAAGATTCGGTGCATTTTAGCGAAAAAAACTCAAATAGTATTTTGGCCTGCATCGTTGTTTGTTTAACGAATAAAAGTAGACATCTCTTGCATATAAAACTAATAAATTATGGACTATGATGTTTGATAATCAACATTGAAATTGGAATTTTGAAGGGTTGTGATGGGTCGATATTGATAGAAACAAAGAAAGGAAGCAAGAAACTAGCAGAAAGAGAAGCATATGAGAATAAAGAATTGAGAGAAGAAGGATTCGAGAGTATCATTAAGGCAAAGGCATTGGTCGAGTCTCATTGCCCTTCTCTCGTCTCTTGCTCTGATATTCTCGCTATCGCCGCTCGAGATTTCATCCACCTGGTAATCCCAACTTCAATCCTACTTCTAATTGTTCTATTCATATGATTCGCTACTAAACCGATTTTGATGGGTCTAGAACCGGTTCAAACGTAGCCATGTTTCAACAAAACGGAACTTTTCTTTTTAAGAAAGGGTTGAGACTTCACAATATGTGACACTGTCCAAACCGGTCTTGGATATATAGAGTAGATCAATTTCGGTTAAATTTATCAAAAACGGATTTTAAAACGTTGGAATAAACCGAACCAAACCAAACCAATCCGTATTGTCCACTCCGATGGTTAATAGTATATCTACGTGTCATTGACTAATGTTTTGGTATGATTCCAAGTAGGCAGGTGGGCCTTACTATCAAGTGAAAAAAGGAAGGTGGGACGGAAAAAGATCAACGGCAACGAACGTCCCTCCAAACATACCTCGATCAAACTCCACCGTTGATCAACTCATCAAGCTCTTCGCGTCCAAAGGACTAACCGTGGAGGAACTCGTCGTCCTTTCTGGTTCCCACACCATCGGCTTCGCCCATTGTAAAAATTTCGTTGGTCGTCTCTACGACTTCAAAGGCACAAAACGACCTGACCCGAGTCTTGACCTAAGATTACTAAAGGAGCTCCGGATGTCATGTCCTTTTTCCGGCGGAAGCTCCGGAGTCGTCCTTCCCCTCGACGCCACTACTCCGTTTGTATTTGACAATGGATATTTCACAGGACTAGGAACTAACATGGGCCTTCTTGGGTCAGACCAAGCTTTGTTCCTTGACCCGAGGACGAAGTCCATTGCACTTGAGATGGCTAGAGATAAGCAGAAGTTTCTCAAGGCGTTTGGAGACGCTATGGATAAAATGGGTTCCATTGGTGTAAAGAGAGGGAAGAGACATGGGGAAATACGAACGGATTGTCGAGTCTTTTTATAGATTTTCTTTATATTGTTTTGTGTGAGGGTTTTTGTCTTCATCTTGATGTGTTCTGTGTCATGTGTCCTTTGTTAGCATTTTCTTGATTGTTTTGTTCATAGTATAAGGTATTTTTTGAAAGCAACGCTAAACTTATTGTGAAATAAGTTATTTGTGAAAAAGATGGTTATTGTGATAATATTACAATTTCAAGTGTGTTTTACGTACATGAGAAGGAATTCACAACCACTCAAAGTCGAATTTTGTTTTGAACAATTTAAGCCAGGACATAAATGTGGTTAGATCATTTTTTTTTGTTTTTGTAATCACAATCGAAGACGATTACATTATAATTTCAAACCCCTCCAAGAAAAAAGAATATAAAACACTTTACAACTTTATCGTCATATTCTGCTTGTAATCTTCACATATATATCTCCAAGCAAACTGTCAGTCGTTTCTTTTTTTTTTTCCTCTCGACTTCCAAGAATGTAATATACATGCAAGTGTGTATCGATCGAGTCAAGTTCTTCAGATCGAAAGAGCTGCATAGAGAAGCTGGTTCCAAGTATCCGGCAAGCCAGGAAGGCACCAATGACTGCAATCTGTTCCTCCATCGCCTCCATATGTAGATGGATGAGCATCTTTTCTTAGTTGAGATAGAGTTGTGATGTCGAGTAAATAAACGGGGGTTCTCATCGAGCTCAATACTCGAGACACAATGCTTGCTGCAGGAAGTGAACCACCTGGGTATGTTGATCCGGTCAACGGTTGCATCTGCCCGTTGCAAGTTTTCCTCGGCTCGTTCCATTCCCTTCCCCTATTAAATCCAGAAAACCAAGACATAATATATATTTTACCTAAAACGGCAGTTTTCAACATCATATATGCATATATATTCGTGTGATGAACTTACATGTAGTGAGTGGGAGAAATGCCTTGGAAGAAAACTCGGGTTTGCGAAACATTAACATTTTGATCAATCCATTGACCCCAAGTGGTGAGTCCTTTGTTGAAAGCATCAAGACGGTCCATGTCTCTTGTTAATGAAGACCCATCTCTAATAAAATCCCATCTGAAAAAACAACAACAATAGAAGAACAGAAGATGAGTTTGGTTAAGTGAGCATGTCTTAATCCCAACAATAAATGGTGATAGCTCTAATTAGTGTAATAATAATATAATACGGACCCTTGGGACTGTACTCCTGTGTGAGTCCACCAGTGCCAAGAATTAAAGACGAGGAGGTCCATGTTTTTCCAAGCATCAGCACCATCTTCGATGGCTCCAAGATTAAGCACACGCCCTACACTTTCTTTGGAGATGTCCACTAGGTATGGTGTTCGGTATAGGAATAGTGTGACGTCATATTCCTGATAAATTAGGAATTTAAAAGATATAAACTGAGTATTTTTCTTAATAAAACCCCAATACAGAGGTAACTTTATAAAGAACGTGAAAACTAATTAAAAAAAAAAGGTAACATGTTCTGTAGATTTAAAATAAAATAAAATGAAGAAAACAAGTTGGTTTTCATTAGCTGTCAGGTCTCCTACATCCTTTTCCTGCTATGTTCTCTTCTTTTTGTTTCTTTCCAGTGGATCTTTGTTGTTTACATATTATTTGTGATAATTCATTTATTTCTAAATTATTTTTAAACAATGACACGAGAGAAATGTCCAAAATACTAAGTCAAAGCTTGAAACAAAGGCAAAAAAGATATACGGTGGAGAAAAAAACGAATTGGATGTCCACAAAAAAATTTCAATATCGGCTGATAGATATTACACATCAATTTCATTGGTAAAATACATTGTTCTTCCTCCATGGCCAATATTATTATTTTATATTTAAAATAAATTAATAAATGATCAAATTTATTTTCATCTTATTTTGTATAAATTATTATTTAGACAACGTATGATTTTGTTGTTTCTAAAATTCATATACTGTACTATTTTCTCACCTCCATTAGTCATTTGTTCGAAATTTTAGATGTTGTATCAATTCTTTTCAATTTTTTTAATAAAGAAAGAAAAAGAAGGCAATCACTCATCAGGCAGACAAAATCATAATACCTTGGATGTCAAGCATTTTCGCAAAACACCTTTTTTTTTTTGTTTATTCACAAAAACAACTTTACATTGAAAATTAAAAGGAAAATTCGACAAGGCTTCCTTTACAAATAGCCCGTGACAAACTCGATTCCACAAAATGACAAGTCGTCCTCGTGATGATGAATTATTAGATTTTGTTTTTATCTAAAGACGCATGTTAAATTATAATAAGGTAAAAGGAAAGAGACAGACCTGGAAAGTGAGAGACGAGAGTGGGGTACGCTTGAGAAAAGTGGTCTTAGTGTTTGGAACCGACGAATGTATCATACATCCCAACGATTCCCACATGTTTAGACTCAGTGAGTCACCCACGAACATCACTCGTTTCCCTCTCCATTTCTTCAGAAACGCTTCCCCATCAAACCTTCATTTACATTTTACATACATAACAAATTATTAGGATCATCATCATTTTAAAATGTATCTATGTAGATGTTGATGTTACATACCTTGGGACGGTGCATGAATCAGGCAGCCAAGAGTACTTGAGGAACTGTTTGTCTGGTCGACCGAATTTGAGACAGTCGAACTCACCGTCGATGAAAGGGCACGTGGATGAATCGTAGAAAGGGTAAGAAGCATCGAAAACCCATCTCCCTTGGAACAGGTTACAACCACTCGTCTGCTTCCTCCCTTTCAACATCTCTTTTCCTCCTCCTCCGGCGGCGGCCAACGCCGTTTTGTTACGTTGGCTTACATGCTGTTTCTTGCCAGAAGCCAAGGCTTGGCCAGCTCCGGACAAGATTGTGAGTATGAGAAGCGAAAGAAGAAGGAAAAGAGAGATATGTTTGAAACCCATCTTCCAAAGAAAAAAGATGTTGGATTTTTTTTTTTTTTTTTTTCTTGGATAGGCTTTGTGATGGATTCGAGTTTATATACACACACGCACATACTTATATGTGTAGTATACGTAGGAAAAGTAGTATGAAGAGATTCTTGGCCTTATGGGTCAATTTTTCTCAAAAAGATCCTTAATTAAGAAATCTAAGAATATTTAGGCTATCAATTCGTTCACAAATTAATTATTATTTAGCTACTCTTTGGTTCAACTATTTTGTTAGTAGCCAAATTTGCTGTCACTAAATAACAGTTGTTTAGGAAATGTCGAACTTATTTTTAAATCCCAATTTTTTATAAAAAAGTTAAATCCTCAAGTTTTATACGTTAACGAAATGTCTCATATATGTCTACATGCATGACGTTAAAATTCCTAAAAGCAACGGTAGAAGAAATTGGACATTCTTGGGAATATGCAGCTTATGTGAGTTGTGACCTGTAATGTCTACAATCGAGCTGTTAACCGCCTACCAAATGATAGAGATCATGATAAAGAAGAAAAATAAGAACTTATTTGGGTATATAGTAGTGATTATTGCCACAATTTGATGTCACATTAATTCTGGTAATAACTATTGAAAGCAAAAAAGTATCCTTCAAGTCATCCACATTATCATTTTAGGTGTGTTTTCGTGGGGCTCCCGTGGATGAATCAATGGTGTTAGTGGGACATTCTATTGCTATACTTGTCACGAGGGACATCTTAAATAATTTCCAATCAATTTTCACATGCTTCTACGCCATTTGTTCATTTAATTTATATCTTTTAAATCAAGTGTGCATATAATTTTGAAGAAAAAATATTTTTATAACATATGGACAGCACTATAGACAGGTAATTGATGCTATTTTAGACTTGTAGTCATCAATTGATTGTGTTTTGTTAATTAGTGTTCTTTGGATAGTGCGGGATTTATTTAGGAATATTTCCACTGAAGTACTCACATGTAAGTAGGATATTATGTCACAATTGTTTTAATTCTTACATTATAATGATTCGATTCTAATCTGACCAAGATTCTGAAACTTAACCACTTACAGCAATCAAACACAAATGACCAAAATGTCACAAACTTTGATTTAAATAGTGAAATTTGACTTAATGAAAAGAACACTATAACGGACTATATAGAATGTACAATAAACTAATGTCGAAATTATGATATTTTATTAATTTATAGTAATATTAATAAAAAAATGATCAGATGTCTTATGGTATATCAGAAGAAGGTGATGACCCAATCACCACTATGGCGCAGTTATCTTCACAGCTGTTACAAGAATCGAACTCGGGTCTCTAGCTACTAACTAAAATTCGAACTGCGACCACGACAACCAGTGCCGGCTCTACCCATGTGCGGGGGTGCTCATGCACAGGGTCCAAAAATTTTTTTATCTTATTTTTTTAACTAAATTTATTAAAATTAGGGTCCAAAATGTTTTTTTTAATAAAAATACATTGGAAATTAGAACCAATTATTTTTTTCAGCTCAGGGTTCTTAATTTTTTTGAGCCGGCCTTGACGACAACTAAGGGCCATTGTTGCTGCCATGGCTAGGTACTAATTAACTCAATCTTTCTCTTTCTATTGGAGTATTAACATTCCCATCCAAGCATGATATAAAAGATGAAATATCAATAATATATAAACTCTTTCCTTCAAATAAATACGTCTTAGAAGTTACATTAAAAAAAAAAGAAGGTACATTAACGCCATGCAAGAAGACGTAAACAGAACATTAATACAAATAATAATAATAAAATGTGGCTCAAAAGATGCGATGTGGACTCACACCGCACCTCAACCGAAATTTTAATAATCAGTGACTATATAATATACCTCTTTGTTATACTTTTCATTTGAATTGTAGCCAATGTATAAAATACTCCCTCCGTTTTAATTTAGTTGTCGTTTTAGCACTTAAATTTTGTCACATAATAGTTGTCGTTTTAGATTTTCAATGCAGATGTTTTGTAAAAATTCCAGTTTCATCCTCACAGTTTTAATGTCTTGACCAATTAAAAAATTTAGAGAATATATTGAATAAGGGTTAAATAGAAAAATTAATTGCTTTCTTAATTCCTGTGCAAAAACCTTAAACGACAAGTAATTCAAAACAGAGGGAGTATATTTTAAAAAAATCACTTACGCAACCGGATAAAAAGCATACTGTGCTACACCACACATGCCTTGAGGCCAAGCCACGTCTCTTCGGATTCTAATGTAACCTTTTTCTCCCCAAGTTTCACCCCAAGAGTTCTTAGCTAGCCAGTATTTAGTCCCGTCCTGGCTCGTTCCGTACCCAACAAACGTAACCGCATGGTTCGAGCTGGTCCCACAAGGCCCATCATATACTCCTCCCGAGTAATGCATGAACCCGTCCCCATTCGCGTCCATCGACACAGAGACGGGTTGCCTCGATACGGCCTCGAGCAAGGCCTGTTCGTTGTTGCTAGGCACGGTTTGGAATCCGCTGATCCGTGCAGTGGGTCTTGCATTAGACCGGCATCTCCCATCTGATCCTTGGTAAGAGTAGTCGTTCTCCGAAGCGATGCCTCGGTTTTGAATTATATAGTTGAAAGCGTCCGACATTATCCCACCGTCGCAGCCTCGATCGTACTCTCTGTCGCAGTCTAAAAGCTGTTGTTCGGACAGAGATACAAGGTTTCCACCGGCGATTTTAGTCACACCTTCCACTGCTGCTACTGCCGAAAACGCCCAGCAACATCCTGTACATATGGATAATGGATAAGTTGGATGCCTTCATAACAGAAACGAGGCAAAATATAGAACAAATCATCAATAAACCCTAGTTACTATAACCGTATAGTTAACTTGGACATCAAGTTTAATATTTTACGCCCAATTGTTTTTGCCTTTACATTGCATTTGTTTCTAGACATTATACATGTTGAATTATTATGTTTACTTTTAAGAAACAAAAAAAATCATCAAATTTGTAACTAGTTTTGAAATTTCTAATAACTAAAAATGTAAATTATTAACTTGATAAACAATATGAGAGAATATTAGGTTTGCATTTCGCATTTTACGTTTAAATTTCCCAATGATGTTTGGTAAAATATAGAGTTTAAAAATCTGTTTAAAACAATCGGACGTAAATATGAAAAGGAACGTTGGTAGTGACTAGTGTATACATAGCCAAAAAAAAAAAGGAAGTGTTACCGCATTGGCCTTGGTATTTGACTGGAGTCACAGCTCCTTCAGCTCTCCAGTCCTTGCTCACGCCTACCATGTCACTGATGTTCCAAGACCTAGACGATACCGTTTTGTCGACCACCTTGGATGATAGGCCCTTTAGTCCGGTATGTATTGCTAGGAACTCCTCGTTGGTCCAATCCGCGAATTCATTGACACCAAGCTTGTAGCTTTTGTTCCCTTTTTTGTTGAAGTTCTCAATGAACTTCAAGTTCTTCTTAAACACATCGCGTCTCATTTGTTTCTCGAGTTCATCACGGTATACACGAGAAAATCGAGCCATCCATTGCTCATGTTTTTCATGCAACGACGGTTCGTGAAAGGTTACAGTACGAGACGTGGCCTGAGAGATACGGAACGTCGTGAAAAGAATGGTAAAAATAGTGACCAAGACCATGATTGATGACATATTGATTTTAGAAAATAGAAGAAATTATTATGTATCTTTACTCTTTTGGGCTAATGATTAATGGCGTTGTAGTGTGGTGAAGAAGTGAGGATAGAAGGAAGAGTATTTATAGATTTAGGATTGCACAATGGGATCCAATCGTAGCAAATGCAACTTGACTTGAATCCAATTGGGGGTGATGTTAACACTTTGCATTACTTGCGCCGTGATCTTTGGAAGAAAAAAATTCCTTATTTGTATTTTGAGTGCATTTGTGGTTTTGGTTATTTGGTTCAATATATACTATAAGATTGAAATCAACTCGATCGGAAACCTTTTGGTCTAGTGGTCAAGAATTTAATGATATTACACCACGTTTGGGGTTAAACGGTCGTCGATTTTTCGTTGTAAACACTAAAAATAACCTTTTTCAGTATTTGGTTGGTTATGTAATAATTTAAAGTTGTAATTTTTGTTCCGCTTTCGAAATGAATTACGGGAATCTTCTTTCCCCCCCACTTGGAGTTTGATTGTACTCTGAGCAAATTCCACAAAATAATGGATTTTGTTTTCAATTAAAAAATAGAAAATAATACTATTCTAAAACTTGAATGATATGTAGATATATGTTATAAAATAGGCAAGATATGTTCTATAGTATTTTCTTTCTACGTATATTTCTCTTGAACCGAAACCAAAAGAGCTAAAAAAATTTACAACCTATTTTCCTTTTTACTATCGGAATACGAATTCATGATCTTGGTCCAATTTTATTTCAAAAAATCTCACCAAGATGGATTCAAGTCAAGTTGCATTTGCTTTTTGGTTAGGATCCTCGTAGTGTGTATACATTTTAGGTTTAGTCAAAAATAGCATAGTTTATGTTAAGTGATGAAAGTAGTACGTTTTTCTCTTTTGGCGTGTACTTTACATATTTTTGTAATAAATTCTGTTAGAAAGTTGATTTGTTTGTCAAATCCGCAACGAATGACTAAAAACAAAGTGACTTTAGACAATACATATTTTATATGTCCCGTCCAATCACTGAATGGAGGAGCAATGGAGCATGGGCTCAAATAGCTGCGTCATCGTCATCCTACAAGTTTAATATTTTGGTATATTTATGTCTATCTACTTGACTTATAAGAGTCAGGTATTGAATAAAAGCTTACAATGAAAAAAATATTGAACAAAAACAAAATTTGGCCATTACTAAAATGAAAAATGATTTCTCTTTCAAGTTTCACTTTGGATGTGACTGGTAATCTATCATTGAAGAAAAATAATCAGAAAAAAAAATTCTTCTACTTTCTATTTGAATATAATCAGTCAAATAAAAAGCAATATTGACTCTGATGGCTTTATAGGCTTACTACAGGGTGTGTTCTGTTTGATCTTTCACTTCTCAACTTTTACACTAGCTAGATATTCGATTTCGGGTAACTATGAATCTGGTTTACATAGTTATTGAAACGGATAATATAGAAACATTGGGGTAAATGTACACATTTTAACTCATTTCAAAGATCATCAATTAGATTCATAAAGATTGTGAAATAATCAACTTTTTATAAGACTTCCAAGAAGAATGGTAAGCTAACAAAGATCTAAGATTTTACTTGATTTTCGACAAGTAACCAAATCTTTGTTAGCTATGTCACCAAAGACCAAACGCTCGGTTTGACTCAGTAGTATCCAGTGGCGGAGGCAACGTACAAGGAAGGGGGTCAGTTGACCCCCATAACATTTATAAATTTTTTAATTATAGGCTAAGTCTCATAAGATAATTAGATGTTGTGGTTTAAAATATTCACAATGACCCCCATGTTATGTGATATATACTTGTCTTTGACCCCATGCATATTCATTTTGACACTTAACCTTAATGCTCTTTCCATTTCTGTTTTGGCTAAAAATCTATAATATCTTTCTATTATAAAAAAAAATCTGTAATCTTCATTAATATATTAATTTTTTTCTTCTTTTTAGACATATCCTTTTTTCAGTATTATATTTTTTTCAAAGTTTTTTTTGAAATATTTTTTTTCTAAAAGGTCATGAACCAAGGAAACCATCTAAGTAATAATTTACACTTTAAATATCATTTAATGGTAGTATATAAAAATTTGATAAAATTAATTATATGACCCCTATGAATAAAATTTCTGCCTCCGCCACTGGTAGTATCTCCACACTTGGCATACAATTTAACAAAGGGATTAACCAACATAAGCATATCCTTGAAAGCCATGATGGATCAGACGAGCATGAATCATTTTGCCGTGTCCTAAAAGTGCTAAACCTGAACACGCGTGATTTTATGAGGCAGTTTTGTGATGCATGTCAAATCAAAATCAGTCTTGTTTCCTTGGAGGGTCAAGGGCTCAGAAGTACGTAGTTTAAAAAATTGAGATCACAAGTTGGTAGCTCAGCTGATTTTGGCATAGTTCCCAAAGGTGACTATTATGACATTTTCCTTCACTCTTTCCCCAAAAAATTCTTTGCTTGTTTGGGAATGGAAAGCAGTCAAGCACACATAATTATGTAGAAATGTCATCATTTGGTTTCACTGCAAAGTGAACTGTATAAATTTGTACACTAGTTATATGTAAAACGTGTAAAAAAAAGTTCCATTATTTATGGAACAAGAAAAAAAATCCTAGGAAATCAATCTGTTGGATCCGGTTATCATTATATTGCCCTTCGAAGTTTGAACAACAACTCTGTTTTGGGTACTTGATTCCATCAAAAAAAAATATGATCCAACTCCGAGAGAAAGAGAGGCGTTTGTCTTTCCTTAGCTAAGAATATGATCATTGACCATTCATAACCTTTTATATCATCAATTCACCAAAGGATCAAATTTAACAGTAACAAAAGAAATAATGGTTTCATTTGCTTAAAAGAAGAAACTAGCTCTGGCCTAAAGAATCACTATTTACTCCACCAAACCGGCCAGTGTGTTTATCAGTGAGCTCGGGTTGAACAAGATACCGTGCTTCGGGTCACCAACACATTCCACAACTCTCTGCAACAAAGCGGAAGCAACGGTGAGTGTTTGTTGTGCACATAAACTTGAAAACAAGTGAAGGACAGAGATACTAACAACATCTTTGATCCCTTGTTCAGACAATTGTTTGAGATCTACAGCTATTTCTCCATCTTTCGGGACCAAGAGAGTGTTGATGTAATATCCAGGCTGCACACAAAAATGATGGTCTTGGATTTTGATATATGTCTGATAAAAAAGACATCAAGAGAGTGTGGATTGATAAGAACCACTCACGGGATTCTTCAGCCGGATATTAGGATCTCCATGAGTCCTATTGAGAGCGTCAGCAATAGCAGTCACAAAGCAGGAAGCAGTGAACCCGCTTGTTTCTCGGTCTTGGCTACCATTCAACAGAAGTACCTGTGACCGAGAGAAGAAATCAGATTGAATTTTTCCACCATTAGTATTTTTGACAAGCTTCAGCATACCTTACGACATGACCTGGAAGAGATAATCTCCCCGACACCAAGCAGAACCTGAAGAACAGAAGAAGACATGTCTATAACAGTTATCACAAGAATAGTAATCCACCATTGTAGCACAAAATTCATTGCGGGTTCTTACCAGTGATGGGCAAATGGAAGTGAAAAGGGATCCCATTGCGTAAACAATACAGTCCACACTTCTCAACTGCTCCAGGACAGTTGGGTTAACTGGTGGGAAGACCTATTTAATGGACATAACACAATACATCTGCAATGTCAAATACACCGGGAAAAACAAAGAAATGAAGTAGGGAACTAAAAAGATAAAGCTTCTTTAAGGGAAGTGGGAAACCAGAATCATTAGGGGCAACATTGAAGATATGCAGAACTATATCTGTATATATAAAAAAAAAGTAAACAGGGTAGTTAACCTCATGAAGCAGATTATTGCCTTCACTTGACATGTAAAACACTCTCTTTATCTTTGATGGAAGAGCGGAATTCGAACAATGTCTCTACTAGAAACATAGAAAGACAATGTAAGAAAACAAATTCTTCATGTTGCAAAATCGACATTTTCTTCTTGATACAAATATATAGAAAACTTAGTTATCGTGATCATCACAGAAATTCAAGGTGAGATGTTAAAATAGAACACCTTGTCAACAGTCTGCATAGTTCCATTGGTCGGGTGAGAGATTTCGTTCTGTCCGCGTATTATAGTCCCATCCTACAAATTGATGTCACAAACAGTAAACTTGATATCAAAATTTCCACCTGAATCTTATTTTCAATTGATCTTTAAACCAAAAAGTCAGCCAGTGTATCGACAGCTAGGATTTACGTATAAAAAGAAATACTATATTTTTTCCCACAAAGTGATGCTTTACTGCTTTAGCTGCGATATTGACACTAAATATACCATCAATTTCCATGTCTGTCCACAAACATGGGATTCCAGAACTAGCTGATGGGAATCACATAGAGACCAAGGTTCATACCTGTAATTCACATCCTAGTGTAAGCCTATCATTGGTTGATATCACTGGGAGGACCAAACTGTCACAAGGAATCTCTGAAACACGTGAAAACAGAAAAATCGCAGCATCTAAAGACTGGAAAAATATCCTTGCTCCTGCAAAGAAGAAGTTCCCAATGCTACAGGAAGGGATATAATTGAAAGTAAGCTACTAAAAAGGTGAACAAAAATAATACACAATTGAAGCCAAGAAAAAAATCTTCAATACCTTCCATTACTGAAGCAAAATCTCTCATTAGGTCGTCTGAGAATCTGTGTAGTTAGAAACATGTCAAGTAAGAGATGACAGAATAGAAAGGTAAAGAAAAATCTAAAGAATCAAGAAGTTGGAAGTAAAAAATGATCAAACATGAAACCATATGTTTCTTTGTATCAGTTAACATTACCTCATTCTGAAAGTAAATCAAGAAAGCGCGGATTGTTTCACTGTAGGGTCTTGATACACCATCCCACAGAGAATGATTACCTTCTACAATATCGTACCTGTCAAAGTTCCAACTCAGCCAACTATATATTATACAGTACCACCATTGTAGCTAGTAAGAGAACTGTTGTAACTAGTAAGAGCCTAGCAAATAAAATGACATATGAGAAAAAAAAATTGGGAAAAGAAAACTAACTACAAGTCTACAATGGATAAGCCTGAACAACGAAAATTTCGTTCACAAGAAACTTTTAGGAGTCTGCAGGAATTCACTGTTTATATAAATTCTTTCTACATATTTCTTAACTAAGTTATGTGTGTGCTGTTCTACAGAGTGTTATCGGGAAGAGATGCTCGATTTTCCAAGACCTGAAATGTATAGCTTAAAGAGTAGACTACACTATGTGCATAAAGAAAACAGAGTGGTTGGATAAATTACCAATCTTTCTTGGCCTGATGTGCATCAATAGGTAAGCGATGGCCGAGCAACCGCCTAACAGCAAGTGCCTCTGAAGTACTTTCATCAGACAGCCTTAAACACCTAGAACGTATATCACCAACCGCTGGCCCGCCTATATAGCAACGCAGATAGTGAGTTTAAATTACTTCTGATTAAAAACTTTAAGAAGCTAAAACATATAATCTGAGTGTTAGACCATTGTTGGCGAGTCCTAGAACTTACCTAAAACACGAACAATCTCAGCAGTACTTCCTCCATCATCAGAGACAGGAAGAACATGAGCGACTCGGGTTGTTAACTTCTTCAACTCTTCAACCACACCGTTAAATCCAGTACCACCTTCATCGCAACAAATATAAGGTTTTATTAATTCAGAGCAAACCAAAAGTAACTAAACCAATGTAAGACAAATGATAAAGCTTTGAACTTTGCAACAAACAGAAATAACATATGACTCATCTACACAACGCTGCTTCAAGTGGCTCTCCAAATATTTCGATTGACGTCAAATTCTAAGTAATTGATCAAGATCTAAACCCAAATTGACGATCTTTTCCACTCAAAAATCATAACTTTAGGGAGACCCACAAAGCAACGAAGAGGAAGAAAGTGGAACCTGAGAAGACGAGAAGAGAAGGAGGCTCCACGGTGGAGGAAGAGCGACATTCAGCCATGAGAGAAGTGGAATTATAGTAATGGGGTTTGCTGCGGAAGAGAGAATGAAGAGAGAAAGGAGATGGTGCTTTATAATGGACCAGACCCCCAAAATAGCAAATCTCCGCCATTACCGAACTGAAACAGAGAATGATGAAACATCTCACCACTACCCTTTTCGTTTTTGTCGATTTTCCAAGCCTCGGATTTTTTTGTTCGCAATTGGCAGTGAGTGACCCCCAAATCTTAACGATATTTATTTGGTAGTGGTTGATTAGTTGGTTTTCTACTTGGTTTGGTCCAATAAACCAACACTAGTGTTATATACCAATAGATTTTGGTTTTACTAGTTTTGGTTTTACATATCCAATCCAACGTAAGAATATCTAATTTCCACGTAAATATATCTAAAGTTTGTTACAAAATTAGATTACGTGAAAAATAAATTGAAATTATGATATTTAACCTGATGTACCAAAAGGCCTAGTGCTTGTTTAGTAACTTAATTGTTGTTTTATTGCTGATTGAAGTTTTTTTTTTTGTATATAACATTTAAAACTGAATCAGAGTAAACGTTCGAACTCTCATTTGAACAAAAACGAACACTTTCGGTGAATATTAACATTTTAATATTGTTTGAGCTCAAAATACATGCATACATCAGATATTCAGATATCCACAACTCGGAAATATGGTACTTTGGGATAATCTAAATAATCACAGGATCTAGTAGCAAGGAGGACAAGCAATAATGATAAGAAAAAAATAAACTATTTGATATGAAAACCCAAAGTTAATAGAGTGACATAAGCCTTGTGAAAAACGAATGAAACACTCGACCGAAAAACTCCCTAAAAATCTCTAATTTCTACACAAAGAAATATCATAGAAGCCGATATAAAGTATAAACTCAAATGAAGTCACACAAAAAATCAGAGCCCTAACCCCTCCTAACGTAAACCCAATCACCTTCTGGTAAAAGGGCCTCGACCTCACCAAATTCCGTATTATTCGCAATCAGCTCTTGCCTCACATCCACAAATCCTTGTAACGTGTCCGACACGTCATCTTCATCGTCATGAACCACTAATGATTCGTTAATTAGCTCGCTCATTCTTTGCTCTCGCGACATCTCCATCACTTCTTCGGAGTGATACTCTCCAACTTCATCATCCTCCTCATCCCATGATTCTTCATCTTCTTCGGAAGACGTGTCAACATTCTTTAACTGCTGATAACCACCATTCCACTTCAAACTTGAAACCTAATCACAAAGACAATAACCAAATCAGCAACTGATATAATATAACTACATTCCATAATACGAAACGATGATCTATTGTCCTAGTTTTTGTATGAGCGTAGGTATGAAAATGTTAAAAACTGCTTCACAAAAACTTACACTATCTTTTTCATTATGATGATGGTACGAACTAGGGATATAGCTCGTCGCTGAGGCCCCCAAATCAAGCTCCAACATGTTTCTGGAAGATTTAGAAACTGTAGTATCCTCTTCTTCATCTTCATCATCAAAATCCTCATTCCATGAATCATTATCTTCTTCATTACGATGATGGTACGAACTAGTGATATTGCTCGTCGCCGAGCCCCCCAAATTAAGGTCCAACATGTTTTCGGAAGATTTAGAAACTGTAGTATCCTCTTCTTCATCTTCATCATCAAAATCCTCATTCCATGAATCATCATCTTCTTCCTCGAAAGACAAGTAACCACTCCACAGCTGGTAGTCAACGTTCCACTTCAAACTCGATTCCTAATCATAAAGATTCAGTCAGAGACAATAAAAAAGTAGCACCTAATTAAATTTACTAAATTCCGTTATACAAAATGGTGATTTACTATTCTAGTTAATGAGCCTGGATATGAAAATGGGAAAAACTGCTTCAAACTTACACTATCTTCTTCATCATAATCATCATCATCGTGATCATAATCATTATCATCAATAGCATCATCATCATCACCTTGTTCTTGAATGAAACTCTCTGGAATTTTCGAATCTGCCAAGGAAATCAATATGATACTTGTCAGTCAAGAAACCAAAAAACTGCTGATGTTGTAGCTACTTTAATTTAACTGGAATTAACAATGACTATGTAAAATATACAATATAACACATACCACGCATAGTCCAGTGTTGGCTCGGTTTTTCTTTGACCTCGGAAAGGCACATAGACCAGTGTTGAATCGGTCTTTCTTTGACCTCAGCGACAGGATATTGAGAGGAATTTTCTTCACCAGATTCACCATTGTCTGGCTGTCCGGTCAGGCCTTGGTTAGGCTGGTCGTCAAATATGTCTTTGGTTAACTCTGTCCAGAGTTCAATACTCTGAAAATATAGAAAAGAAAAACCAAATCAAATAAAAGGTAAGTTTTGGCAATCTCAGCTTATTTTATGGAAAGATCTAACTATCATGAATAGTTGTAGGTTTCTAATGGATTAGACCGTGATTAGGTTTCCATAAATCTAATAAAATATCTGATGGAACTGAAGCTTTCTTTCTATCTCTTCTCTCTTGGTCTTTATATTTTCAAATCTCATGTAAAACTTTTTTTTCACTCTTCATAGTTTACTAAAAATAATAGTCTAAAAGAACCTTGAAAACCCTAATTCTGTTTGCGTGCATGATGATGATGATAAAAGAACATAGGTTTAGGCTTTTAGCTATATTCTAGCTCACAACATAGACAGAACAATAAACTCTTGGATTTTAGGGCATAAAACATCAAATAAAGATCAAACCAGAAGAACAACAATACTTACCTTTTGTATCGATTCGTCAACCTTGGTAAATACCAATCCGATTTCATCCATAAACTTATCAAACCATTGGTTATCTTCTACGCCTCCCATCTTCTTTGATTTAACCTGATTGGTACCGTATGAAAACAGGGAAGGGTTTCAAAACCAAAATTCAGTTATCAAATACTTAATTTTAGTCAACAAAAACTAATCTCCTTATTGTATAAGCGGCCAAAAAAAGAGAGAGTCACGGAAACCCTAATTAGAACGAGAAAGACGATTGAATGTCTCAAAAACTATACAATCGCTAAAAGAAAACTTACGATTGGAAAACGTAACCACGTACGCGAGGAAGTTTTAATTAAAAAGATTTGCTTCAGAGTTCAGAGGAATTGGAGAGATAGAGAACACGACTTGGGTTTTAGCGAGGTTTTATAACTTGTTTTCGTTTCTTAATTTATAAGGGTGTATGATTTCTAGAACACATAGGACTAGGACTTCCAATATCCTTTTGATATCATACAACTGCCTGTATATATATTATTCCGTTTTATTTTTTAATACTAACAATGGAAATTTATAGATTTGTAAGATACAAATTAAAAAATAAATAAAGCAATTAGTAATATTTTGGTTATTTTATCTTACTCTGAATGCAAACAAAATATTCATTAACACTTTCATTATTCCTTCTTAGATCGTTATTTAAAAAAGTCAACTTAAAGTATTTATAATTTTAATTTTTTTATCTATTAAATATTTATGATATTCTTTAAAAATATTAAATTAAATTATTTTAAAAATGTTCAGAATTAAAATATTTAAAAAGTTTTTTTTAGCATATATAATTATGAATTTCAAATAAAGAATTGTAGGCAATTGAATATAAATATTCAAATAGTTATAAGGATCATAACTCATTCTAATATATAATACATTATATTTAACATGTCCCCTATTATAAATATTTTAAATATATCTGTTTAAAAAATATATATATATTTATAATTTTAACTTTTTGATCTTTTAAGTATTGATGATATTCTATAAAAATACCAAGTAAAAATATTTTTAAATGTTCCAAACTAAAATATTTAAATTTTTTATTGTAGTATATAAAAGTATACATTTTAAATAAAGAAATGTATGAAATTGAATATAAATATTCAAATTCTCACTGTTACTCAGTCATAATTTTTGTTTAAAATATTGGGGGATTAGCAAAAATACCCCTTTTCTCATGCCCCTTTTCAAAAATGCCCCTTTTAGATGTCCATTTTCAAAAATGCCCCTTTTTAAATCTGAAATTTTTATAAAGTTTTATTAGGTTTATAAGGTACTTATGGATTGTAACTACTACTTGAAGACTCGATCCAAGTATTTATAAGGTTTTATAAGGTGTTTTTAAAGGTTTTACAAGTTATTTTAAAGGATTTTTAAGGTTTTTCAAAAGTTTTACAAGATATTTTAAAGGTTTTTAAAGGTTTTTAAAATGCATTTATAAGGTATTTATAAAGTATTTATAAGATTTTAGATACATAGAAATGTAGTTTGTGTATGTTTTAATAATATTACATACATATTTGGGTAAATCTTATATTTTTAAGGGCATTTTTTATAAGGTTTTAAAAAAGGGGTATTTTTGAAAAGTGGCATTGAAAAAGTGGCATTATTAACAATTTCCCTAAAATATTACTCAAGTCTGAATTTTTGACCCGTTATAATTTTTTCTTCATAAATTGAACTATTTATATTCGTTTTAAAAAATTCAAATCATGGCATATGCGGAAAAAAAATCTATTTTTAATTATATGGATGATATGATGATTTATTTGTTTCACAAAAATAGAATCATATAAAGATGAGAGGTGAAATATAATGATTAGTAACAAATTAATATGGTAAGTTAGATATCAAATCTTATATGTTTATTTTGATTGGTGATTTTTTTAAAAAAATTAATAATTTATTTTTCGTTTTTATAATTTAGTTCAATTAATTAAATTGTATAAATTAGTATTTTACTTGTTTATTATTAATGAGATGAATTAATTTATTCTTTGAAATTTTATTACTAATGGCATACTTATGTAACATCTTACAAAGGCCAATGTTGTTTTCTATTATGTACTTCCCAAATAATAGCATAAGATAAACAAAGTTCAACAAACCTATAAATTTTTGTTAAAATAGTGTATATATTTAATCTCTTTTTTCTTTTCTTATAATAATGATTAGACTAGATTTGTCAAAGGACAAAAATTATTAAGTGGGGTTTGTAGAAAGTCCATTTACGTACAGTTATACTAGTATTTAATTACCTAGTCTTTTATTTAAAAGTTATAGTATTGCTCCTTTTTAAAGTTATATGAATAGCTGCCAAAAACGTTTTTTTTTTTTCATTATCAACTTTAAAACATATATATGAGTTAAACTTGATAATGAAAAAAAAAAAAAACCGTTCAGAAAAGGAATAACATAGGCTTGCTGTCCTTATACAATTTCGGAAGAACCTACATAAAAATAAATGATTGTGTTAGTCGTTTATAATCACATCTATATATTGCTTAAACTAAAATTCAGAAACTAATAACTTCATGATTCAGATCCGTGCTAACATATATGTGCATTGAATGCGAATATAAAAAAAATAAAGTAAAAATATATCATCGTTTATAAAAAAGAACTACACTAATAAATAAAATATTTATTTTAATAACATTTTCAAGCTTTATTAATCCAATCTAAAAAATCATGAATCAACCATCACTATAGTAGATCAATAGCCAATTATTTGATTTTTTGTTTAAAATTTGGGTAAAATAATACAAAGTACTCTTATTACATTAAAAACAGAAATCATAACGAATAATCTTATAACTTGATTATGTGGTTGATTTATATATAGAGAAGACCAAAAAAAAATTTGCATAGAAAAGTTTAGATTGGTGATTTGGAACAAGGTGATAATAATTATTGTTCTCCCTCAACCTATGTTTTAAAGGAGTCCTCTTGAATTATCAGTCTAATATGATAACTTATCACTAAATTCATTATCAACTTAATGAGGTAACTTATCAGAAGCAGCCAAAGACTCAAAAGTATGTTCTTATGTTTGTTTCTAATTGTTTGGAATCTCAACTTTGAATATGTGAATTCTTTTTGTAAATTTTTTGCTTAGTTTTTTTGTTTATTTTACTTATGTTTTGCTCATTTTTTGCTTAATTTTTGTTTACTTTGATCAATTGTTTTTCTCTTGATTATTTAAATTATTTTAATAATCATAACATATTAATAATGTGTAGTTACTGTAAAAAATTTGCATCGAAAAAGTTTAGATTGGTGATTTAAACAAGGTGAATAGATTAGTTACTCTAATTTTTCTTTTCTTTGTTTTAATGTTTAATTCAATTTGAAAAATTTAACCAGATTAATGATTGCCAACTAAATGTGTTTCAAATTAATACCTCATGCCCAGGGTGGTAACTAGAGCTGTCAGGTTGCTTCCGATTATTTACAGTGGCGTTGTTAGACCGTATAGGTACGGTTCCGTTGGGACATTTGGCAAAGCTGAAATGCGATTCCCATGTTTTTTTTGCTCTTTTGAATCGTTTTGATCCTTTTAGGGAATTTTGATGGCATTTCTTGTAAACAATTTAAGGAAAATAAATAATATTAGTTTCAGTAAAAATGTATTAACGTGAAAATATATAGTAATTTGATTATCTAGAAAAAATATTATTAAATAAATTTATTTGAAAAATAACAATTAAAATACCTAAAACTTCTGATTCTTTAAAAGGGGATTGTCAAACGCTGGTTGCTTCATTTTGTCATAGCAATCGACATCCTCGCCTTGCTACAACATCCCCGCGAAGAAAACATGAAAAAAGTGGGGGATCACTTCAAGGACAAAATAAGAAGGGAATGGTTTTCGAAAACAGTGACGTTCATATTTATCATACATACATTATTAATTAATTTTTGGCCATTTAGTGGAGCTTTTAATTCTATCATTCTCTAGGAACCAATGTTTTTCCTTTTAACTAAATAAATTAGTATTCCTTCTGTTTCCTTTCAAGTGTTATTAACAAAAATTTCACACAAAATTACTACTCCATAATTGATATCTCTAATCAATAAACTAAAAAATAGGGATGATATTAAATTTTATTTTTTACAGCTTTAAAATTAGGGAGACTCACAAAAATGCCCATTTTTCAATACCCTTTTTCAAAAATACCCCTTTTTTAAAACCTTATAAAAAATGCTCTTAAAAATATAAGATTTACTCAAATATGTATGTAATATTATTAAAATATACACAAACTACATTTCTATGTATCTAAAATCTTATAAATACTTTATAAATACCTTATAAATGCATTTTAAATACCTTTAAAAACCTTTAAAATATCTTGTAAAACCTTTGAAAAACCTTAAAAATCCTTTAAAATAACTTGTAAAACCTTTAAAAACACCTTATAAAACCTTATAAATACTTGGATCGAGTCTTCAAGTAGTAGTTACAATCCATAAGTACCTTATAAACCTAATAAAACTTTATAAAAATTTCAGATTTAAGAAGGGGCATTTTTGAAAATTGACATCTAAAAGGGGCATTTTTGAAAAGGGGCACACCAAAAGTGGTATTTTTAACAATTTCTCTTAAAATTATGCATTTTCACTTAAATATATGAAACAATAGTTACGAGTTGAACTAATATTTATTGCGAAACAGTAATGTATAAAAATTAAAGTGTTGCATTAAACTTTCCATCGATTATACACTTTTTAGTTAATCGATTAATCCAACTCCATCTAATGACTAATTGTTGTCGATCCTATATACAGTATGAAATAACTAATAAGTAATTAGGTTTGATCTATCAAATATTTTTATGTATGGACAAACATTAAACACTATCAAATCTGATCCTCTTTAAGGGATCTTTTTTTTTGGGGGCAAAAGTTTAAGGGATCTTGGGAGCTTTTTTTCCATATATATTCTTTTGATGGGATATAAATAGATCTCAACAAATTATCATATCAATTGTTTAGAAAACGAGGAATCCAATGAAGTGCTAATTTTCAACTATTTTATTTTTCTAGAACGCGCACCAGCTGTATTTTCGAACTTAAAATCATGCGAGCAATTTATATACACAAAGCTGGAGTAGGATTTACTCCAGTATTCCAATGATATTGAGATACTCCAACATATATCCATTTTTTTTTTTTTTGCGCAGCACAGATTGGAATAGAACACACTTAGAAGAATGAGTTGGGCGATTCACTATTTTCAGTTGGTAGAAAGGAGATAAAATTATAACGTTGTCATATAGAAATAAATACAATATGTAGATGGTTTGTCCTCTTAGAGGTATCCTTAGAGGCCTAAAGGTAAAACTGAGTGACATGACCCAAATTCTTATCAGGGATGGGCAATTGTTGTTGGCATCATCATCTTTTCTGTTTCTGTCAACCTAATTTCCAGTGTTGGGTTTATTGCTAATTTCATGTTATTTTACACGGTAATGTCAGTTCATTGGAAAAATATCGACTATCGGTTTCGGACTTTAGATAAAAGATTTTTTTAAAAAAAAATCTGTGTTATCGTTCTTCATTGGTGATTTACATGGTTGTTTCATAATATTGATGTTGTAAGACTGTATATCCTTAAACTCATCTTATATGTTTGTTTTTCAAATTTCATGAGCGTACTAAACACAAAAAATCTAACTGCCATGCTATTGTGACGATGGTCAAGATGGGATGCTTACAATAAGTCAATAATTCATGTTTGTATTTTCTTTCTTATATATGGATATATCATATATGTACGGGGCGAAGACGACTATAAGTGTATCACAATGGTCATTGGTCAATGACAATTTGTTGCCGGTTTACAAGCAATCCTCTTTTTCAATAAGATCACTGTAATTAGTAGAGACTTTCAGATATAATCACTGCCGCGAGAGAAAACATTTATGTATCTTTAGATTGGTCATTTCTCTAAATTTTCACTTGCAAGTATGTTTTGAAGCTGTAATTAAAAAACGATTGTTTTACGCGCTCTTCTAAAACTCTTTTTTGTAAAAAAAAAGAATTATAGACAGATATCCTCTTGATTGGAGTAAAAGTGTGGTTTTAAAAAAAAACTAGCATAATAGTAAAATTGGAGATGATTATTCAATAAAACAAATTAAATTGAATTAAGCTTTTCATCAGAAAAAAAACAAATTGAATTATTTGAATGGTGATAAGTTTTTAGTTTGTACTAGTTGATTTCTAATGATTTGGATTAATTAAGGAAATTATTAATTACGATGATCAAATATTTTAAAGTACTCTTAGAAGTCACTAATTGAATGACCTAAGATTTTTATGATAACCGATCAAATTTCAAAAAAAAATATTATTAACTAATGTAACATGAGATTTGCTATATGAAATAGAAATCACTTCAAATACGTTATATGTAAGTTGTATGTGGGAAAATTGAAACCTTTTTTTGTCAGCGGGAAAATTGAAACCTTTTTTTGTCAGCGGGAAAATTAAACTTTAAATTTGGTAAAATCAAAATTTGTGATTCTAACAACTTGTTATGCCTTCTTCAAAAAAAAAAAATTTAATTTGTTATGCCAAGTTTTTCAAAGTTCATGGATTTTTTTAGAATTGTACTATGATACGTGTATTTAGTAATCTATCAATCTATCAAGCAAACCCATAGGAGTTTCTTGATTAAATAAATTGTCTAGCTAGTGCCAAAAACCTTCTATCATCCATCCGTATGAGATTCTTTTATTAAAAACTTAAATTAAACCTAATTAATTATTTGTTCCTTTTAAGTTTTAACTAGTTTTCTGATTAAAAAAAAAGTAGAACAAAGAAACATCCTTTCTCTATCATATCTCATTAGTGATGGTCTGATGGAAAGATATTAACAAGTCTCTTTGAGATAAATGCCAAAACATTAATCCACCATCTAAAAAAAGACTATTACGAAGTGGGAATAAGTGATAACACAACAATTGACTAAAGGTATTCCAAACAATTTAATTAGAGAAATGTTGTTAACCATTTGGAATTCTAAACACAAATCTATCGAAATTTATTATACACGCCACTAGTAAACCTACTAATGCATACGAATCCTAGGTGGATAATATTAATTAAATTGTTTAATAAGAATTTTCTTGTATAGAGAGACTAGTAAATTAAAGTAGTAATTAGATTCGATTGATTGACAAATGACAAATTAACGACCTTGCCAGCCTGTATGTACCAATAGCAACTAAATTCACCACGTTCTTCAACGGGTTTAAAGGAAAACCACTCAACCCCAAAACCATAACAAATTTTTTTTTTTAAAAAAGTGAATAATAATAATCAGCAAGATTGACCGTCGGAGTAACACCGGAGCCGCTTCATAGGAAAATCATGCCGGAAACCACCGTGAGCTGCTGCGGCTGCGGCATGCTGCCACTCCTCAACGAGCAAGCCATTTATAAGCTCGACTTGATGAACCCCATTTCCATCTCCAAGCATACCAACCACGACACGGCCTGGTGGTTTGGACTTCCGACGTCCGGCGCCGACGGGAACGTTCCGAAGTGCACCACCGGCGGTCCAGTAACGGTGGCAGCCTTTACAAAAGTGTCTAGGCTGATTAACGTTATAGTTGTTGAAGTAACAGAACTTTGTCTCCATGCTCTTGCATCTTGGACATGCTATGATCTTGTCTGGACGCTTCTCGGCCGTCAGATCTGATGATGATGATGATCTAACGGTTGTTGTAGCCTCTTGCTCCGGCGGTTGTTTCTCTTCTTCATTTTTTATTGTGTGAGAGTTAAATGCAATGGTTTTGCCAAAGAGTTTAATCCCTTGAGAATCTTGAGTCGCCATGAAAATATGAAGAGTGTGGGAAATAGCTTATCAAAAGTCTGTTGCAGGTAAGAAATAGAGAAAACGTCTTTTTATAGAAAGATGATAGTATAACTTTTAAGCAGGAATGGAGATGAAAAGTGACTAAAGTAGTGGAGATTAAAATATTTATTTGTTAAAAACTTTTAAAAGCATATAGTAATAGGCGCATTCATCGCTTTATTTTATTTTACTTTTGGGTCTAGAATTCACATCTACACGTAAAACACGAAAGCCAATGCAGATCAAGCTACAACGCTTTCTTTAAAAAGCTAATTATTCGAAAAGTGGAATTGGTAAGTAGTTACTGTAAAACCATCATCGAGTCCGTAAAGTAAGTCTTATCAACACGTTTTCCCCTTTTTTTTGTCCACTTACTCGATAAAATATATGAATATATACATTTATTACGTAACAATTTTTAGACTAGTGGATGCTTGACCGTGATCCAACTAAAATAAGCTTAAACTTACACTAGAAAGAGATTCTATATCCATGAGCCATCTATTCACATCCATTTTTTTTTTTTTGATAAACCCAATTCACGTCCATTTTTGAGTCTATGTCGTTCATGGATTATCAACGAGTTAGAATTTCACGGTTATCGAAATTATAGATCCCCTTTTTATTAACTAATGCTTAGATTAGTGAGATATATTTTCTTTGAATATGAAATAAATGTCAGAAAGTATATCATATACGAACAAGGCAGTAAATAGTGAAAATGTAAATGTGTTGGTAAGACTTTTGCGTTCTAGTAATATTTTACAGATTTGATAATGATTTCACAGTGCACGAGTCACGAGTTCCACTTTTCTATAACTTTAAATAATTATCATTAGGTTTGAAATGCAACTCTCTAGTCTCTAGATACCTAGGAGTCTTGCCCCATAGATATTTTCTTTTTAAAAAAAATTGTATGTATTTGTGTGTATTTAAAACCCAATTAATACTGATCTTTAAGATTGAATTCATCTTCTTCTTTGACCGCAGGATTGAGATACTTATCTTCAGAATAACTATTTTTTTACTTGAATTAAACTAAAGTATAATTTTAGATGTGATCTAAGACAAAGCCGTCAAAAAAGAAAAAGTTTGGTAATAAGTCAGTGTTGCGTAGGAAAAAGAGAAGAAAAGAAGAGTATGAGACATCCTTACTCAATATTTCATCTTTCTTCCTTTTGTTAGCTCTAAAGACTTCTTGTGGGTCCTCTTCAAGTTAGATCATAAACTATACGAATTGTTTTAAATTTTAATTTTAATATTTTTTTTGTGGCTGTTCCAAGTGGCCAGATTGCAAGTATGGTACATGTTGCCATGAATCGGTTCAAAACGAATCAGATTGTCAATAACTGGATCGGTATATATTATATTGATACCGAGAAAACGTAAATGACATAGGTCATTTTACCAATAATCCCGTAAGTCTGATCAATTCATGATCAAATCTAATCTTCATGGACTGATCATCATCGATGATCTCAGCTATATTTGAAGAGCTAGGGAGTATTTGAATGGGAATTGCTTTGAGAAAAAAGATAAAGCAAAGCAAAGCACTTTTCTCATTTTCTGAAAATATGCCACTTTCAATTAACCTAATCCTATATTCGGTTGACGTATAAATAATACTATATAAAAGTAAAACTAAGGAAAGTGTTAAAAATGAAAGGAAGAAAGAAGGAAGAAAAGAAAAAGAAAAAGAAAAAAGAAAACGTTGTTTTTAAGAGAACAAACAAAAGGAGAAAATTGATCGACGTTGATCTCTCTTTTTCTTTCTTTGAGTTTAATTTCATATTCATCTTCCCTTTAAATTGTATGATTTTTCATTGGTATCTTTTTAGTCATAAAGAACAACTTTTACGTATGGAAAAAGCATAGGCTTTTGTAAATTAATAAAAAGAAAAAAAATCGTTGTTATTTGAGGTTTACCGATGATGTTTTTCTTTTTCAAATTCACCAAATCATATATATAAAAGTTGGCCAACTCTCTCCATATGAGTGCCACATCATCACATAAGAAAATGACATGTGTCATTTTGCATTAATTAAATAAAAAAATTAATAAAATTAAGTGAAGAAAAATCAAAAGTCCTCAATTGTATTCAACCTTTCATCAATACCATTTTAATTGATTTCTTCAAATAAACTAAAAAGTAAAAAAATCTTGTCAATATATCAACTACTATTTTTATTATACGCTTCTTATTTTACTAATTTTTTTTTTTATCAATGGTCTTTATTCAATAATGACAAATTTTACAGTTTAAATATTTGCTACCTAATCTCTTCTTAGTTTAATATTTTGCCTTAAACTTTTCTTATTATTATGTTTTGTGGTTCATATACGATCATATGACCTTCTTTATTTTTATTTTTGTAAATTTTGGTAAGTTAGTAACATTGACAATGACATGCAAGTTTTTTCAAATAATAGATTTTAGAATCGTTATACATACCAAAGAATTCAAAACACGACAATTCTCTCGGATATATGCAAATACAAGGAGAGAGATCTAAAAATGTTGAATTAAATTACACTTTAATTTTTGCTTTCTTTTTCTTATTTTCATATAAAAACTCTTGAGAACTTATTCAATTTATGTCTATCCAGTATTTAGTAATGAGTCTATCACGATGTCGTTGGAGTACTAGATGAGGAGAGTACACAGAACAAGAAATTGTATTTATAATCAAGTTAGGCGAGTTTCAAACCACACATATAACATAATTACATATAATTATATAAAAATATTCTATATTGTTTTTGTATGTATTCATGATGATGACAAATATTAGGATATTTGAAATAGAAATAATCAAATTTATACATAAAAATGTATAAATTGATAGTTCAAGTCAAAAATGAATCTAATCATGAAAATTGTAACTACATAAGATGAATTGAATTTTATTAACTACACAATAATAAATAAAAAAGTAAACATAAATTAGCAACAAAAACAATCAACATAATGGTATTCTTCTAGTTTAAATAACATTCACTACAAATTTGCCATGAGCGTTCCATAACAAACGTACACATTCAACAGATTTAAGTATACTGTCCATCACCATTCACTCTAAAGTCAATGCACATGCATGTATAATTAGTTTTTCTTTGAGGAGAACATAATCCACCTCCTTTGAAAATACCAAGCTCAAATGCCACTAGACTACCATCCACTTGAGTTTAGACTTTTAGTGGTTGCATGTTTTCTTGGTAATTTTGGTTGTCTCTCCAATATTGCTTTTTTCTAGTGATCCAATCAAATACATATAACCTTTATATAGTCTTTGCTTCTCTTTCTTTTAGAAAATAATTTTTTTAACATAAAAGGTTAAGGAATTTAACTTTAATAAAGAAAATCATTATGTATAGAAATAATTATAGGTTATAAAGAAGAAAAATGATCATATCTTTGATAAAGGAATCTTTAATTACACGACCAAATTAAGAAAGTGATAAAAGTAGCAAGAAAAAATAAGCGATAAATTAAATGACAAGGAGCTATTTTTGTGAATTTTGTTCAGTGATTAAATCTTAGGGTCGGTAATTTAGAGATCTGACGTATATTTAAATAAATAGATATAATGAAATTTAGATTCAAGAGTTTTCTAAACATAAAACAGTTTAAATAGTAATTACCACTAATAAACCACACAATTGCCACTGAATTCCCGTGTAAAAGAAAATTAGAAACTATGTAATAATACAAATTTTCGAAAATCATCAGACGGTGTTTCTTACCTACCAAAGATTTATCTTCCGATATAGACAAACCGGTTTTAAATACTTTCTCATAACATTATTTACTGTAACCAGTGTCTAGTGAAATTGTAAGAACGTAACTAAGAACATATCAAATGTTCATCTTTTGTCGTCCTAGATGTTTATTTTAGAAAGTGAAAAGATTTAAAAAGTGTACAAGCAAGGACAGAATCTTTTTTCTTTAGTGTATCGAATCAAGTACTGACTCAAATTAAAGAACACAGAGCGAACTTCACGGCTTTTAGGGCTTCGACTAGTCCTTATATAATGATTATTTTCCGAGATCCTATATTTGCCAACTCACGTTTTTGTGTATAACTAAATAATTTGTTTAAAAAAGAAGAATTAATTAAGTTCTTTTGTTTGTTACTAATCACCAAGAGATTCAGTCATTCAGACATAACATATTCTATAATTATTTTATTTTTCAGAACCTTATCTCTTTGTTGAAGATACAAATATAGTACGACAAAATCGACCTATATCTACTACACAATAAACATATGAAAAACGGATTGAATGTGGTGAACTGCACTTGTTGTCACGTGTCGCTATCGCTCCATGTATCGCTTTCGCCATCTCCATCGTCGCTTGCTACAGCCTGATACAACATGTCCGAAATGTTAATGCGTTAAGGACCAATGGTACTTGCATGTTGCAAACTAAAACAAAAGATTATAATGTGAATAATGGAACCTGTCGGATAGAGTTTGCCTTCTCTAAAATCACGCTAAAATTGGTGTTCATTGTAGCTTCTGATGATGATGTCTTTGTCGTGACCACACGTCTCAAGTTGAATTGCTGTTATGATTCAAAAGGATGTCTTTGGTTACAAAAAATGCAAATTATGACTTTGTGGAAATGGAAATGAGAAATGGAGGATAAAAAAAATCATTTGTCCCATTTCATTCCTATGATTCAATCATTTGTCCCATTTAAGATACTCCATAAATCAAAAATAAAAGACTCACTTTGGTTCGGATTTGATGCAAGAAGTCACCAGCATCTGTCTCTTTTTTGTTGCCTTGACTTTGCTTATAATCCCTCACATTGTTCTTCAAATGTACCTATCAACCACCACATAAAACTCCTTATACCAAAATGACGAAAAACACTAAAAAGAGAGTACAAAACTTAATCCTCCATACCTTGTTTTCCGGTTTAGGATCAGAAACAGTGACAATGTTTGGTTCTTCTTTCTTGACTGCAGTTAAAGAATTGTTGTTCTTCTCAAATGCCTGTATGAGAGCATCCTTTAGAGACTGCTTGTTGTTATCCTCGAATCTCCCTGACGGTATCTTTGATACCATCCACTGTAACGGTGGGAGAGGCGGTGGCAACGGCTCAGCTGGATTTTGGAGGTAAGAGACATTTCCATCTAAACAACCATTTGATGTTTCAATCTTTGGAAATGGAGCTGATAGAGAAGAAGCTTCTACATTGATTCTGTGAAAAGAATCATAGAGCTCTTGTTGGCTCTTGCTTTCTCGGATACCGTCTGATTCTTCTTCCCACTGCTGCTCAGACATTGACACAGAGCGATTGTCATTGTCGCTGTTATCTGAAATGTAAGAAGAGGATCTACAGAAAGTGTCCTTGTCTGAATCAGAATCAGGAAGTGATGTAGCAATAGTATCTGGAACCAACTGAAAGGAAGAAAATGTATATTCATCTGGAAGTTTCAGCTCTAGTTTGGAGCTCGGCAAGGTTTCTGCGGATTTGAATGATATTTTCATGTGATCAAGTGGAGGAGATGAAGTAAACCAATCAAAAGGAGCCTTATAATCTTCTCTCAAGGGCTCTTGGAAGGTTTCAGAATCAATGTCTTCAACAATCTCTGGAATAGTTGCTGCTATAATCTTCGGTTTCGATGGTTTCAGTCCCAGCAGATTTCCATTAGTCCATGTTTTAATGGATTCGGCGTCACAAGAAGTCTCAGTTTCTTCTGATTCTTGATGTTCTTGAATACCGCTAATATCATACAAGGGATTTGAGAAGCCATTAGAATAACTATGAGTGCCACTGCTTATTTCCGAAGCCGCCCATGGATCTTGATGAATCAGTTCATTAGATTTATTTACTGGTGATGATAAATGTAGCTCTGATGTAGCAGCACATATTGTCTCATCAACACTAAAGTTGTTAGAAATCTTCTCTGTTTCTTGCTCTGTAGTCTCATTGGAAAGATTCTTCTGCACCTCTTTAGTGGTTTGGAAAACTTGATCATTTTCAGATTCCGAGTCGATGGTGTAAAGAGCATCAACAAAATTGTCCCCTTCGCTTTCAGTTTCATCCTGACTGTCCATTTCCAATTCCTTCGGTTCAATATCTTGGACCGCTTCAACCGCTGTATGTTCTTTCAGTCTTGATACAGGTTCAGCATCCACGAGAAAGTTAGTTTCCATTGCTTCTGGAGCTTCATCTGTTGCACATTGCAGAACATTGCATTCCACTATCTCAGCTTTCTCGTGCCAACTAACGCAAGAAGAACCGCGAGCAGTTAGATCTTGAGAAGGACTATCATTTGTGTCTTCACTTTCACTTTCAGAAAGAACTGACGCAATGGTTCGAGATACACCCGGTGTAAACCTTGAAGTAGAAGATACACCCTTCGGTTTCTCTCCACCACTTCTTGAATCAAAAGAAAACGAACGATGATCTTGCAAGTCGGATTTCGACTCGATTTCAATCGTTGAAGCAGTTTTAGAGGTAGAGGTTCGTCCACTGAAGCTTAAAGAAGTAAATGTCTTCCTGAAAATCATATTATATATTCATGTTTTGAGTCATATATGAAAACATCTCAACAATGTCAAAATCTAAATGTCATTACTTGTCACTCTGGTTAGCCACAGAGGCAAGACTTGATATATCTCGACCGCGTTGTATAGATTTTTTCTTCTGCATCATGCATACAACAAGTTTAGAAAGCAGAATATTAATCATCAAGAATAAGAAACTCCACGAAAATATATATGGTTTAACTGATTTAATCTCCAAAACAAACCTTCATTTCTGGAAGTTTAGAAGCTCTTTTGAAATGAGTAGGATCGGAGTATCGCTTCAAACAAGACCCTGGACCATTTATATCAAATCTGACGAAAACCACAAAAAATGATCAGTATCACATTTATAATCAGTCTAAAACATAACAGAAACTGTAATAACACAAAAACAAAATGAGAGTTAAAAGGCGTATATACTTGTCGAGCAAGTGCAACCGCGGAGGTTCCCGGCAATCGTCATATGGAGCCATAATAAACGGTGGCAAGTCGTCGTATATAAAGTGATTTTGCACATTTGGTATACGAGGATGCCACTCAAGACCTGAAACATCATGTAAATACTATATTGATTCACTATACTATAAATATTAATCATCTTCTTAATATTATCGCCACACCAAATAAACTCAGATTGATTCATACCAAATAGTTACTATTAAGAATATCTCAACTTATTTTAATTAGATCCAAAAGGAAGAGTGTTAGTAGCTTTGACCATGTGATTATCTAAGACTACTATCATTTATCAAATTCTAAATTCATTTAAGCTAAGAAGTTAGTGCAAAAGGCATGTGAGCTTGGGCCTACAATAAACTCAGAGGATATAAATTATGATTAAAGAACAAACATGTGAATCTAGACAATAAAGAAGGTTGACAAGAGAAACAAGACAAACAACAAACCTCCAGTGTATGCAAAATGAATGTGATTTGTTTGTGCAAGCACTGTCTTTTGGATTGTAGGAACTTTAGCTTCTATTTGCTTCAGTCTCATCTTCAATTTATTGCTTCTTGATGCCGTAATCATTACCTCCTCTTGTATTCCATGGAATATCTCTGCTGCAAACCTGAAACAATGTGAAATTAACTAAGCAAGTGAAAAAGAACAGACACAGCAAAATTAAGGGTCTTACAGATAATCTAAGAAGCATCATAAGATCACTAACTCCATATTTTGACATTTTCACTTAAGCTCAAATCACATTAATGAAAAAAAAACATTTATAAGTCAATTATAAAGAAAAATAAGAGGAAACAGAGTTGACTTAAAGTACTTACTCGGTGAGATCACCAAGTTGACGCAAGATCCCGATGAGTCCAGAAACGGCGACGCCGTCGAGAATCGCTTTAGGGTCTTCACGATCGACTTTGGTGTGAAGCTCCGGTTGCCCTAAACCATAGACGTTCCTAACTTGGAGTCTAACAAGCGGCATTTGCTCTGTTCTTGAGAAAGATTCAGGAGAAATGATGAAATGGGTTTCAAAGATAAGAGACAAAGATTGAATATTTCTGGTTGTTTTTGCTTGAGGTGGGTGAGAGATTGTGGCAGCTTAACCGCCGAAACGAGAGAGAGGGAAAATTTGGAGATTACAAAAAGCTTTTTGAGTGTAAAAGAGAAAAGAGAGACTCAGAGACATTGCTAACACCGCAAGCCATTCCCTTTTTTGGTGTCATTTTAACCAAACGTACAAAGACAAAATGACGAAAAGGGGCTTGGAGCAAAAAGAAATGTACCCATAACCTTACCCATATGGAGAGAATCATGATCCAAATTAGTCATTTGGTATATAATTTTCCGAAAATAAACCTTTTTTTTTTAGAGAAATTGTTAAAAATACCCCTTTTGGTGTGCCCATTTTCAAAAATGCCCCTTTTAGATGTCCATTTTCAAAAATGCCCCTTTTTAAATCTGAAATTTTTATAAAGTTTTATTAGGTTTATAAGATACTTATGGATTGTAACTACTACTTGAAGACTCGATCCAAGTATTTATAAGGTTTTATAAGGTGTTTTTAAAGGTTTTACAAGTTATTTTAAAGGATTTTTAAGGTTTTTCAAAGGTTTTACAAGATATTTTAAAGGTATTTAAAATGCATTTATAAGGTATTTATAAAGTATTTATAAGATTTTAGATACATAGAAATGTAGTTTGTGTATGTTTTAATAATATTACATACATATTTGGGTAAATCTTATATTTTTAAGAGCATTTTTTATAAGGTTTTTAAAAAGGGGTATTTTTGAAAAGGGGTATTGAAAAAGGGGCATTTTTGTGAGTCTCCCTTTTTTTTATTTGTTACTGTTAATTGCTAAACATAAATATTTTGAAAGAACTTTTTGTTGTTGAAAAAGTTCTTTCACAATATATATTTTTTTTTAACAATAAATATTTTGTATTGTAAACACGCCAACAAATAGTATTTCTGTTCGGGTAATTTTCCGGTCACGTAAATAAAATTCTGTAGAAAATTTGTTGTGTATATATGAAAATTTGTAAGACTAATTAGTTAATTAGTCATGTGTATAACCTACTTTTAATACTATATATTTGTACGCTTAGTCATGTGTATAATCTTCTACTACTTGTAGCTGCCAACAGAAGAAAAAAAAAAAAGACTTCTACTACTTGTAATAGTATAAAATATACTAGAAGTTAAAGTTTGGGTCATTGAATGAGAATTTGAAGACTTCTATAAAATAGAAATGCGTTACAGTTTAGATAGCGTTAAAGTTTGGATCATTGAATGAGAATTTGGTCGTTTGCGAGGAAATAGACTTGTTGAGTTGGCTACATAATTAACTGAAGAACAAAACTCCCATAAATGAGGCACCAATACACTCATACTAATATCTCTGTGATTTTTTTTTGACAAACTATATATATCATATATGTGATAGTGATACAATTCAAAGATTTTGATAATGAATCTAGTAAATTGCAATTAAATTTTCGTTTCTTATTCTAAATATAAAGTTAGCATCTCGCATCCTAAATATATATAATCAAGTTTGATGTTGCATAATATCTCCCTAATATGTTCCATATATACACTAACACACACACGCTGCGTAGAGTTTGTGCGTGTGAGTGAACGTATATCATGCATCCAGCATCTATATCTTACACTTGAGACTTGCCACACATGCATGTGGATGTGTCATGTGTGACCTACTCCACGTTTAGATATATATTAGTAATACAAAATAAATCATGCACAAGCATTTTAGATCTATGCTTCTAGAGTTATTATGATCTAACTCCCATTAACCAAAGCAATTTATTAACTCGAGCTCTTTTGTCGTTTTTCCAAAATTAATACCATTTGATACTAACATATGGAAATATATATATTTATAACAACTTAATACACATGGATCAAAGATATAAAGTACTAGTAGTCCACTCCATACTAGCTAATACACACTATTAGAAGTAATCAATTCTTATGGTCCTTGGTAGGTATAGTATTATTAAATAAGTGATGCGATTAGATCCATGCATGACTTTTAGCTGGTCGTCTATTTATGGACGCTATACCTAATCACAAGATTAATCACATCTCATTTATTATTTTTTATTACTTCTAAATTGTTCTGTTCATAGTATTTGATAAGTACACTAGTAATTAACCATTGTGGTCTTTGACGTAGATGATAAGTACTGAAGTTATTAACCATTGTAATCTTTGGCGCGCGCAGATTCTATTAGCTAATGAGCTATACTACTATTATTGTTTTCCATCATATCAATCACAAGTGAGTATGAGAATTGAGATGACACTTACAAAACTCGATGTTTAAAATAAAAACTACAACTTAACATAGCTGGAAAAATATTTTTATATATAAAATATGAGATTGGTTATCAAAACAAAATCTTTTATTTTTTTGGGTATCAATCAAAAGTAATTAAATCTAATGTTGAATAGAGGATGATTCATCGATTGTTCTACACTTTTACTTCTAATCATCGGCGGTCCACATCCTTTCTTGTGTATTGGTATAATCAAATTAACCAAATGCTTTATCAATAAGATATCATCTGCATGAGATTTGATTTTTCAAAACTGAGTTAATTATGTAACTTTGAGTCTTCAATACATTTGACATACTATCTCATGGGTTTCTATATCATAGTGCTTTGATTAAAGAGCAGGCCATCAAATGGTGCACTAGCATCTCACACACTTTAGCATTCTCTTATAATCTTCCAGGGAAAATTTGACATATTAAAAACAAGAATATCTAAGTAACAATATAGAAGAAAAAAAAGTAACAATATAATATTAATCATTTGCATATATACTAGTATAAAAGAAGAATTGGTCCAATGACACATCGATGGCATCAATGCGTTGTTTTAGATGAAACGTGGCACATACAGTACGGTGTCGGATTAAGACATGGTACCGTAATCATGTCCTAACTAGATATATCGCATTCTCATATGCTAGTAGGAGTATTAAATTTCTTTATTTTCCGTAAACCTAAATAAGATATTAGTAGTTGATTTTATTAGATCTGTGGCAGGTAATTGTCATTTAAGATAATCTTTTTATTCAGTCAGAATCCAACTCATTGACTTTGCAATTGGCTGGTAATTTATTCACGATAAAAGAGTATCGATCTGAATCAATTACATATATCGAAAAATCTGTACTAGTCATTCTTAGAAATTATTATTGTTACATTGCCCTAAAAAACAATATGAAATAAAATAGATATCGCAAGTTATATAATAAAACTAAAAATCACCAAACTGGGAATTGCTTCTTCTTCTTGTTTGTTAACATCAAAATGGAAATAGCTATAAGAGTATAGGACCCATCACCCATCCATGATCAGGCTTTTAATATAATTTCGATCCCTTCATGCGGATATGGAGTACCACACTCTTAGCATGGTTTTGGATAATATTCAAGTTATAGTCCATATCTCGTTTTACACCAAACACTTATGAGATTCCAAAAACCAATTTCTATTTGTACACATGGTTCAGAGTCTTGCAACGAAGTTAAGATCAAGTTATATCACTAAGATCTTTATGGTCTTGTAAAGTGAATTATGGATTTCATACTAATTAACTAAAAGAGAGTATATACTAACACATTTGCTAGGAAAACTCTAGGCCCAAACGAACCCACTGAAAGCCCATAAGACCACAAAAGAATTCTGATCACTTATCTATTTCTTAGTATTGGGCTAATATGTCTCCAAAGTCCAAACAAAGAAAAATCTTCAGCCCAATAACCCGATTTCATAACCGGGTTGACCCGGATTATGGTAAGGAGTTTTTGCGGGTTGACCCGATTTCACAAGCGTAAATGTCTCTCGTTAATTTCGTTTGCTCGTCGTCCCCTTACCTCGAAAAAAGTTAGGTTACGGATTCCAAATTAGCAACCATGGAAGAGATCACCGATGGAGTGAACAACATGAACTTGGCCGTTGATTCCCAGAAGAAAAATCGGATTCAGGTTTCAAACACCAAGAAACCATTGTTCTTCTACGTCAATCTCGCCAAGGTACATAGTTTAATTCGATTGCTATGGGACTCGTCTTCTAAGCTTTAATAGTTCAGGACTCGAACAATCTCTTTCGATCGAGAGGATATTATTGTGTATGAATACAGTCCAAAGGCTCAATTTTTCTGGAATTCTATATAATGTTTCAATAAGAAGAGCCAAGCTATTTCTCTATGAGTATTTTAGCTTATTCTCATGTTTGGGTTGGTTTAGGGTTGATGTTTTTGGTTTTGCTTGGTGTGATTTTGTGGTTATTACTTGTGTCTAGGATGATTGATGTAACTGAGTTTTGTTGTTTGGATATGTTCAGAGGTATATGCAGCAGTACAATGATGTCGAACTCTCTGCCCTTGGAATGGGTATGTAGTATGTTCTTAATCTCTCTTTTATTTCTCTGTACATATTTAGCTGCAATATACTCTGATACTTGACTTCATTAAGCTAAGATTCTCAGAATAAATTGTTTATACTAATTAAGATTACTCTTCAACATGAATGTGCAGCCATTGCAACCGTCGTTACTGTTGCTGAAATACTGAAGAACAATGGTTTTGCTGTTGAGAAGAGTAAGTTTTTTTATGGACTGAATTAGCAGATCATATACTATTGGAGATTTCGATTTCAGGACTAAGCTTTGTTTTGGACAAATATGGTTTCTTCTTATATAGAGATCATGACTTCAACTGTGGATATTAAGGATGACTCGAGAGGACGTCCTGTGCAGAAAGCTAAGGTAGTTTTTCCAAGTTAAACTAGTTTCGTTTCTTCATGCATTCTCCGAACGATTGTAAGATTATGATTTTCATCGACCTCTTTTCTCGATTTATCAAATTTGGTTTTTGGTCTTGCAGATTGAAATTACGCTTGCAAAGTCAGAGAAGTTCGATGAACTAATGGCTGCAGCCAATGAAGAAAAAGAAGCTGCAGAAGCTCAGGTGCAGAACTGAAAATAGCTTTTTACTATTTTGGTTTCTTGATGCTTATTTTATAATGGGCTTTATTTGTTTTATTTCATTAATTTTTGGCTTGTTTATCAATGGATGATTTGTTGTATCTGTTAACATTTGATATGAAGATGATAGCTAAACAATATGGTTTCCTCACAATAAAACATCCGGTCCATAAATTTTCTTAGCATCATTCGACCATTTGTTTTTTGTTTTGTTTTGTTTCCATTTTTCATCCTCTTAATTGAAATTAGGATTAGAAAACGATGATAAAATTTATAATGACATGAATAAAAAATTTGTGCATAATGTGCATAATAAAAGTGATATTTGTCACATTATTTCTAGAATTGGTTGGGACGACATGAATAGATAGAGATTTAAAGTTTACATTTTGTGACTCAATTTGGGTGAGGAAGACACTAACACAAGTCACTCGTGACTTGTCGCTTTTCTTCTTGAAATTCCATTTTCGTCTCCGTCATCTTCACGGCACAGATATATACACAAAACCAAAAGCTTACTCAAACTTTTGTTTCTCTCTCTTTCACATGCCTTTGTTCTTACTCATCCTCAAGACTCAAGTCTCGTCTTTTTCTAGGCCCTCTCACTCATCATCACACTCTCTCTCAGTGCAGAGAACAAATTTACACGAATTCGAAGCTTCTCCTCCATATCTCTCCGGTTAGTAGATTTCACAATTCAATCATGCAATGTTTCACTTAGTTTCCATTACTGAACATGCCCATAAATCCTTTTCCAATGATTTGAATCACGGGTTTAAAAGTTTAGCGGCGCAACTATATTTTGAATTAAATGAAAGTTTCTTGTAAAGTTCTTTACATTTTTGTATGTTTCCCATCTTCTTCAGATTTGTCGTTGGGTTCATGTGTGTCAGTATGTATAATTAATAACTTAATTAGTCAACTACTAAGGAATCTAGGTAGCTCCGACTTATTAATTTATGTTTGGTTTTTTTCAGATCTGTTTTGGAGAACTGTGAAACATCATAAAGTTTGGCAGAGAAAAATAAGTTGGTGTCAGTCCATCTCTGAGCTTTTCTAACGGCTTTGGACCCTTTGGTTGGTTCTATGGCGGAGAAAAAACTTAACTTCGATGCACCTCTTCTTTCAACAAGGAGGATGAAGAAATCAGCAATCTCTGTACGCAGAAACATGCCAAAGCAGCTCACTGATGAGTCCAAGACAAGTGAATCTCTTTCTGTTTCAGTTCTTGTCCAAGACATGGGTTTAGATCAGGTTCCAGAGTCTCCCTTGGAGGGTAAAGATGTAGAAAAAGAAGCAGAAGAGAGTGAGGATGATGATGTTTTCTCTGATGCCCTTGATACATTGTCTCTAAAGCATAGCATAAGTGGTGGTGGTGGTGTTGAGGCAATGAAACCGCCAATGTCATCTGAGGACCCTCAATTCATGTTGGATCGTTTCTTACCTGCTGCGAAATCCATGACTGTGGATCAACCACCTCAATATGCTTGGAAGCGACAACCATTTCCCCTCATGTCTGAAACAATGAGACAGATTAGAGATATAGTACCAGCAGAGAATCGTGCAACTCCTACAAGGTATGAGTCTAGTTTTACACCATCTTATTATCAGGACATAGATGACGAAGAAAGCGAGGAGGATTCAGATGACGATGAAGTTTCTGAGTATCTTTCTAAGAGAGGCTGTGGGATGATGTCACCACAAATCTGCTTTAAAAACTCACTGGGTATGCTGAGCTCAGCGCATGGTCTTAAGGAGAAACCTTTCTCCCTGAGAACCCCAAGCCATGATCAAGTGAAGTCAAGCAAGGTCGCTCAGCTCAAATCGCGGTTCCAATCTGTGAAAAAGGTTCCTTCTCAAGCCTCCCTTTCCTTTTCTTTTAGTATTATATAGATATGATCAGAAACTCACTGAAGATCAGTCAAAATCTCGTATTTTTTCAGCTAGCTCTTGATTATAAGCAAAAGTTGGGAAGTATAGCTCAATCTCCAGTGCACCCAAGTGTTGGGAAGAAGTTTAACTTTGGATCTGAACAACTTGAATCAAACCTGAGTTCTGCAAGTAGGCCATCATCTCCTTACAGACAAACTGGCTGTATGTCACCGTATCGAAGTGTAGGAAACAATTCCCCTCTTCACCCTGCGGGTTTCCCTGGGACTCGTAAGGAAGCAGAGATTCTGAGAGCTAACAGGTTGAACAAGCATATCAGAAACATAACGAAGTCTCAGGAGTTACTCTATCCAAAAAGTAAAAAACAAGACTGTTCAACAAGCTCTGCCTTGGAGAAGACATTATATGTTGACACAGAGAATTCTCCAGAGACCAGCAATGATCAGGGTAACTCGAATGTCAAGAACTTGCCAGAAACAATTTCAGAGGAACCTGAAATGGAGGGAAAGAAACCGAAAGCCGCTCATGAGCTTAAGGCTGTAGAAACTCTTAGTATTAGCAGTGGAATCAAGATGGTGAAGGCAGATGAGTTGGAAAAGAACAACAGTGGCTGTGATCTGTCTCCACTTGCTCCGCCGCCACCCAAAAAGCCTTCGGATTCTTGGCTTTTCAGTAATCTGCCTTCAGTAAGCTCGAAGATCCCTTCACGGAGATATCTGTTTCATCCCCAAAAAAAGAATGTCGAAGAAAACTCCACAAGTATTACCAAGTGGGAAACTATAGTCAAGACTTCTTATACACACAGAGATCACATACGCTATTCTGAAGTAAGCATCTCATGTTTTCCCTGGAAGATAAGGAAACACAATGAGGCGATGATGCTAACCCGTCTTTGATCTTTGCTATATCTTTTGCAGGAACTCGTTGCTCGTTCATCCTGCCAATCAAAAACTTAGCTGTTTGTAAGCTTCCCTTGGGATGGATCATCACGTTGAATTACAACTTCACCGGCGTAAGAAAACTACAGTTTCTTTTGTGACCCTTAGAACACTTAACTCTTAATCCCTCAGATTGATTTACATGTGTAGTTATACTTTCATATCTGTGTGTTGCCTACTTAGCTAATAAGAAGAACATTTGTTCCCAGTAAATGCTATGTTCACATTTCTATCGATACCCAATTAACTGTTCGAGGTTTTTTCAAGCTAACTGTTTCCATTCTGGTGAAGGTTACCAAGACAACAAGGCAGTAAAGTCTACAGGTAACATTTACACACTTCAGTTTATCATATAGTCTCTCTGATGAAGCATAAAAATGAGTTAGCTTAGGATGAACAAGACAGTGTTATAGGGGAAGGCCGAGAAAGAATTTCATTAAGCTCGTCTCTTTTTTAGAGATACATGTACAACATATTAGCAATAAACGAAAAACTAGCCTTATAATCGCCAGCAAAAACCGTCTAACTGCCTTAGGTCTCACTCTTAATTTCTTTTCTTCTCTGATCTTCCTATCACTCTCATTACAACTCTCACTTTCATATATATACACAAAACAATTTAGTGGTATAGTAACAAAGAATGTTAATTTTCGTTTTCTATGATACCTTCTCTCGTTATGTCTTCTTCTCTCGACCTTCCTGTTTTCTTAACTTGGTCACTGTTCAATTTCAGGTGGCAAACACATTGCTTCTTCAACTTCATCTGCTTGGTAATGCATCAGTTTCTCCAGCTGTGGTCTAAGTTCCTTGTTGCAAAACTCTTCATACTCTTCTATATTCCCTCCTTTCTTCTTCACTTCTACCACCACAAGAGATGGCGTCAGCTCAAAGATCTCAACCCTAATAGTCAAAGGTCCTTTAGCACCTTCTCTACAACCTTCTAGCCTCACGCTCCAATCTTTCTTCCTCACTGTAAAGTTGACCACTTTCGCAATCTCTTCCAGTTTCGATATGATCTTTGTCACTGGAGCTGCAGATACAAACCTGGCTCCTTGTCCACCTTCTTCAAACAAACCCGAAAGATCAAAACTGGAAGAGAACGATATGATGTCAAATGCGTTTAGACTCGCGGGTCTTGGCATTGAATCAACCCTTTTAATATCAAACTCTACATCTCCTTCTGAAGCAGTGGATGATCGGCCTGATGACAATGATGAAGAATCGTCTTCATCATTGTCATCATCCTCCCTACACAACTTATCGTTTTCGATATAGAATTTGACATGTTTGAACCCTTTCTTGAACCATCTATGCTTCATGATCTCCGGTATTGTGATTCGGGTATCCGGATTCGTGTCTAGCATCCGGGTCACAAGCCTTGCGAGCTCAGGAGCAAACCATTTAGGACATTTAAACTGCCCTTTATATATCTTCTTATACATAACCAATATGTTCTTATCATCAAATGGAAGGTAACCAGCCATCAACACAAACAAGATCACTCCACAAGACCAAATATCGGCTTTCGCACCGTCATAGCCTTTCCTTGTCAAAACCTCTGGTGCCAAATAAGCCGGCGTCCCGCAAAACGTTTGACAGATTCCATCTTGCTTGAGCTGCTCCGAGACAACGCTGAGCCCAAAGTCAGAGACTTTAACGTTACCCTTATCGTCCAAAAGCAGATTCTCAAGCTTGAGATCGCGGTGGTAAACACCGCGGCTGTGGCAGAAAGCAACGGCTGAGATCAACTGCTGGAAATATCTCCTCGCGGTTCCTTCTCGAAGCCGGCCTCTAGCCACCGTATTATAAAGCTCTCCGCCTCGTACGTACTCCATAACAATGTAAATCTTTGTTTTCGTAGCCATAACCTCGAGTAGGTGGACAATGTAAGGGTGGCGGACACGTCGGAGGATAGAGATCTCCCGTTTTATATGACCGGCCATTCCGCTCTTCACGATCTTCTCCTTGTCAATGACTTTGATGGCAACATCCTCCCCGGAATTAATGTTCCGTGCTAAATAAACCTTAGCAAAGCTTCCGTGGCCAAGAAGCTTTCCTAGCTCGTACTTGTCCATGAGAATAGAGCCTTGTGGAGTCCGCGGACTCTTCGGGCTCTCTGGAGTACTCACCTCTTTGCTCGTGTCTTTAGTAATGATTCGACCAAGAAGACCCGCCATGATGAATTGCATTGTCGTTGGGCCGGGGATAGCCATCGGTGGAGAGAGTACTTGAGCCATCGGTAGGCTGAGACTTTTCTTTTGCTTTTTATATGTAACTGTTTGTTGATTCCGACACGGTTTTACCGGAAAACGAACCAAAACAAGAAAATGAAATGAAGAAACGGACGAAAATAAGATATGGTGGGGTTGTTGTTTCCGTTGTAATGTTGTCTTAACTTGGCCTTTTCGTATTCGTTTTATAAAAGTTTTCGAGTTGACATTATCTCTTATGTTCGATAAGCTGAAAAGTCATCTGATTAAATATATTGATATTTGATGTTGAAGTTTATCCTAATCCAAATATTTTGCCAGCAGAATAACACGTTGGACGGATTTTCATATTATTAAAGGGAAACTTATATGTTTTATCCAATACGCAAAGTCAACTTTATAATTCATTCGAGTATCTTAAGGGACAGATAATAGGATTGACTTATCAAACACCAATGAGGCTGATAGATAAGCAGATCATGGTTCGTTAAGATGTCGTCACACATTTTATTTAGTAAAGGTAGGTTTATGTGATAAGTGAGTATAATAGTCTTAGAAAGATTTATGGAGTGGTATTTGTGGGCACCACGTGTTTTGCTGAGTCGGTGCTTACTGTACGTTGTGGACTTCACGTAGCCGACCAAAACCAATGGCTCCAAATTTAAGACTCCCAAGAGCGATTGATTGTATTACATTTTTTTCTTCTTTGTAAAAGTTTTTCAATTAGATTATATTCATCATAGTTTCATATTTCCAACACCCGTTTTCTGTAATTGAATTTGGATTACGAGTTGACTAATCTTGAGTGCAACATTAGCATCCGGAACTTTATTCTGAAATTGTGAGGATGGATGGAAATAATCAATTAAATTTAGATCGTTTGTGTAAAAGCAATAATGTTCAAACAGATTAAATAAATTACCAACACTTAAACTGAATTAGGAGAATGTCTCTCATGTCAATAATTGTTCTTGTGATAAATAATCTCAATTATATATAGTAATTTATTCATTTTAATGCATAATTAAGAATTCACAACTCTTAATATAACGAATTCCACATTGAAATATTTCCAGAAAAGCTTATGCTAAAATGCAAGCACGACGTAGGTTTATCCTCTTTCGTATATTTTGTTTTAGTATTGTATTAAGAAATGTATAAACTAATCCAAATCTGCTGTCAAAAAAAAAAAAAAAGAACTAATGCTTATAAGGAAAAGAAGAATAGAAGATCGATGTGAAGACCACTTTAAGATATTACATTTGTTTGGATAATGCTTATCTTTGTGTATTACGTTAATAAATAAAAAAATAGTATCTAAAAAGAAGTATTCAAATTTTGTAACAGTTGCGAAAAAACAAATATGATGAGTAAAATCTAAGAAGCCAAAAGAAGAATGAGTAACGTAATAAAGAAATGAGTAACTTCCTATATTGTTGGTCAAGAATGATATCCTCAAAGAGACAAGGTCAATGAGTTGTTTAAGTCACAGCACAAACACAATGATCTGTATCCGAGTCTGATTAGATTTCAATACATTGAACATGACCTAAGAGTTGAGTACCAAATTAGTTTACATTTACATATGCATGAAAAGCTATTTTCTAACTAAGAGAAAAGGGTTGTATCAGAATAATTTTTACTTTGTGTGATGATAGCTGATATCAGAAAAAAGATGGAGATGTTGATCCAATAACCGTCAATTTGTTAGGACCCGGTCACAAAAAAAACTAGAACATGAGTAATACATAAAGATACATAAGCAATAAGGCAGCCAAAAAATCATCATACTTATCAATTATCACTAATTTCACATCTAAGAAGAAAATATACTAGTTTGATTCCTTATTGTTGAGCTAATCAGCTAATTGTTCATATTATTTACCATGCACCACATGTTGTTAACAAAATGCCAAAAAGACTAATCACAAGTCTAATGGGCTTTTTACAAAAAATAAGTCTAATGGGCTCACAAACATACTGATAGCTTTAAATAACTCGGAGGAATTTAATTAAATCGTCGGAAATTTAAATTAGCTCACTGGACGAAGACAGAGAGACACTTTCTGGTTTCGAATTTTGTGACCGCCGGTGTTGAAGTTTCGAGTGCGACGGAGAATTAGCGAGACGGACATATTCGGCAGAAATGCTCAAAGTTAATTAGTCCTCTTTTTCTTTCCGTGTTTCAAATCGGTCATCTAGATTGCTGTTCTCGGTTTCTGCATTAGATTAGGATCTAGATTGGATTTTGTCACTTCTTTAAAGATTCTATTGAAATTATCCAGCTAGGGTTTTACTGTGAAGAATTATATTGAGCCCTTTTATGTAATTCCTCTGCACTGCTTTGTCTTTGCAATTTTCTTATAGAAAAGGACAATTCTTTCTTTTGTTGTGGTTTTAATGCACAAGTGTCTAGATTTCTTGTTGCATGATGTGAGGTTCCAAGATATTTGATCAGATTAGGTCTTGATTCATTAAACTTGTATCTTTGACCCTCTCGAGTGGGGATTCTGCATTGCACATCAATCTGCATGTTGTTGAGGATTTCATCTTTATTGGTGTATAAATTGCAGAGAATGACATGGAAATGAGGAAACAAGAATGCAGGACAAACCAAAAGCTCCACTTTCTCTCTGCTGGTTGCTCAACCATTCAAAAGCCTGCATACCCATTTCAGGTGTGCACTAGTTACTTCCATAGAGAAATGCAAAATTTGATTGGTATTGGGAATACATCAAATTTTACAGGACATCTACGTTTAACCAATAGTGGAATTTGAAGTGCGATAGGACATATGTGGCTTGCGGTGGCATACTAAACAAGAAATTGAAGTGGGATAAGTTTTTTTTATCACAAAAAATGTTCTGAGGTGTGTAAAACGAGATTATGAGATAGATTCTTGCATAATTAAGTTGTTTCTTTTTGTGGTGTTTGCCTCAATCAGGTATAGGGTGACATGAAGAATCCTCTCCCAGCTGGTACTCAAGATCTTCTATCTTCAATCTGGTCTAATGCAG